TAGACGAGCAATGAAGTAACAGATTTTATTTGGAGGCTTTTGGAGAGGGAGAGAAAGGGATAAGCAGATAAGCGGGGGAATGGAGAGTAAGAGAGAGAGAGTAACACGCCCAGAGAGAACGCGGGCTTCTCCGAGGGTGGAGAGATCCCCTACACACGTCCTAGCGTTAGACACGAAAGCATGAAAGTACACATCTCAAGAGGGGAGGTGCAGATGACACATGTGCTTGGGCACTACATGTGCTTAGCCGCGTGGGCGCAAGCAGCACATGGGCTCGGGCAGCATATACGCGCTCTTCCTTTGTTCAAGGTGGCCTTTATAGGGTTTCTCCAGCCTGCCCCCACGTGAAGCTTCTTCCCAGGTAAAAGTCCTAGCTAAGGAGGTTACCAGGGAGGTTGGGAGCGGTGATGGTCTTCTTTGGGCTGAATCACTAAAATTAATCAAATTAAAGGGGAGGTCCAAAAAGAGGAATTTCATGGGGAGGAGGCCTATATCCTCAGGGTCTGTGGATGGTCTTATTAGGCCTTTGTTTTCTGTATCCACAAGGTGGGTCATTCCTAGAATTCTTCTTCCATGAAAATTTTGTTTCATTGCAAAGGGCCTTTCCCTATCTACCTGCCTACATCAGAGCCAGCCTCTTCCTCCCCATCCTAACAAGACCCTGAGTCCCCGCCCACGAACAGCCTTTCTGGCTTCTGATCAAGCTGCATAAAAGCTGTGATCCAAGAGACGCAGGAACAAATCTTGGAACCCAGCAGGTTTTGGCAGAAATCCCTCCAGATTTAATTGTTAAAATTTTGGAATTTCAAAATCGCACGGCCACTACTGCAGTCACGCCACATCATATGTTATCCATAACCAGCAATAGAAAACAAATTGTCTACTGTTGCCTTTTCATCAGATCTGAGTGTTGGGGTAAAATCCCAAATAATAATGGTGGGTCTGGTGTCGAAATATTGAATGTGATCAAAGTAGAGAGAGAGAGTAATGTGAAAATCTTCTGCCCCACGGGTTGGGAGAGGGCGTAGGTTAGGGATTTTGGGGGTGGAGAATGGGCACTTGTGAAGGTATGGATGTTTCATTGTATGACTGAGACTTAAAACCGAAAGCTTTGTAACTGCTCTCATGGTGATCAATAAATAAAATTATAAAAAAATGGGGAAAAAACGGGTCTCAATAAAGTCTGTGCATTTTCTACTAAAACTTAATACAAGGGCCATTAAGACCTTAATCACAACATCCCCATTAATGGGGGATCACATATAGTGGTGCTTAGGAGTGCTCCTGGCTCTGTGCTCTGGGGTCACTCTTGAAAGTTCTTGGGAGAGCAGATGAATTGCAGGGATCAAACTGATATGGTTCACATGGAAGGCAGGTATGTTATCTCCTGTCCTATTTCTAGAGCCTCAAAATATCTCCATTTTAACATTAATGATAACTAAAGAGAAAGGGAACATATATAATCATGTTATCTGCCAGGTGTTTTACATTCATTAATTCACTTAAATGCTCACAATAACCCTATGCCACAACTATTATTGTTTGGATACCCAAATACTCCCAGTCGTTACTTCATTTACCCAGGATCTGATGAGTCCAGAGCCATACCAAGATACCACCTAAGTGCAGTGCACCACCTCCTGTAAAACAGCCGCACCTTTAGGAAAGCTTGTGAGTGCTTTTCATTTTTACTTCAAATTATCGTTTGCATCCCCTAGTTTAAGGCTTTGCTCTCCAATACGAGTCCCCACTGGGAAGAACTAAAGCTCTAAGTTGTTTCAGTCATTTGTGTCCCAGTGGGAGTCAGGTTCAGATTCTTCCATAAAAACAAATTTTAATCTTACAGAAGAAGAACATTGGGATAAAAGGGGATAGAGTTAGAAAAATCAGTCTCTGTCACTAGAAGACTGTGATGTGAAGCATCACAATTTCACAGCCCTATCTTGTCTGAGACGTACTTATAAGCTTATTAGGATGTCCTTTCAGCATGTATAGACTACTTCATATACAGACCCATTTCCAAGTCTGCTACTCCACTAATTGACACTGGGGGTGTGGATGTCTTCAAATCTAAAGTGACCTTAAATTACACACTGACCCCAACCTATTGTGGTGAGTTGGCATGTGACAGCTAGCCTGAGTAGTAGTTGCAAACCTGCAGTTACTGATCTTAGCCACAAGTCCCAGCAGATTCTCTTTAGAATAAGGACCTGATGTACATATTTAAAATCCTGAGCAGATGGAGGCAGGAGAGCTGGTTGGAAAAATTTGGAAGAGTCCCTTCTGCCCTGTCTGGGTCTATTTGCCAAAATAAATGACATGGATCAGGGCAGGGCAATGGTCCAAAGCCCATTGAAATTCTGCTAGCAGTCCAAACAGTGATGATGTTTCAGATTGATTCTATGAAATGATCAGGGTTAGAAAGAGAGAAATGATGTGTGAACATCTGGCTACTACAGCCTATGGATGGGGACAGTCCAAGGGGCGGTGCAGGGTGAGGGGGGAAGCCTCAAAGACCTCCCCCCCAGGACATCTGTCACTGGCAAACAAGGAAACTATCACATACACGGTGGCAGCAGGAGACATGGTTATAGCCCCATGTGTCTCTGCCCCAATTATATGACCTAAATGAGTTATATGACCCTTTTCTCTATGTCTCCTGTTCCCCCAGGTATAAAGTAGAACCTGCATGGAGTAGTCTCAAAGGGCCCTTCATGCTCAAACATTATGTGACTTCCTTGACACTGGTTTGATTTCGATTTTCTCTGTAGTGGGAGAGGCCCACCCACACACCTGCTTATCTGCAGCTTTGATGTTCTGATACTGACCTCTGCTGACTATTACAAAAAATGCCACCTATAAAGTCCAGAGGAAAGCCATCCAGCGAACTGTTTAATCACTGTTTTAATACAATTTTTCAGTCCAATCTAGGTGCCTGTGACAGAAGCCCTGTGCGCTGGAGACAAGGGAGGAAAAAAATAAATATCTATGATCACAGAGTGAGCATATGCATAAGTTACTGGCTCAAGAATCCACAAAAGAAGTGGCATCTCTCTTTCTCTCGCTCTCTCTCTCTCTCTCTCTCTCTCTCTGTTGCCATCATTTTTCTGAGGCATTCTTTGCCTCTCTCTAAAAAAAAAAAACCCGACTAGTGGGAAAGATCCTTGTTTCATACCATATGGGTGTAAGCTTCAGAAGTGCACAGCTCCCTACTGAAGATGCAGTATTGGGCCCACAGTGCCTCAGAATCCTAGAGGCATTACACAGGCCCTTCCTCCAGCCTTTTGATTAGCCTGAGAGGTTTCTAGCTCGGGGGCAGTCCAGAAAAACACTGTTCTTTGAGGAGTATAATTTAAAGTGTCCCTTTGGGGAAAAAAATTAAATGAGAGGCTAGAGCAATAGCACAGCCGGTAGGGCATTTGCCTTGCATGTGACCGACCCGGGTTCGATTCCCAGCATTCCCAGCTCCCCGGAGCACTGCCGGGAGTAATTCCTGAGTGCATGAGCCAGGAGTAACCCCTGTGCGTCACCGGGCATGACCCCAAAAAAAAGCAAAAAAAAATGAAAATGCAAAATAATTTGAAGTTCTTTGAGAAATTTATTCCAAATTGTCTGAAACAAAGGACTTCACTGTACGTACAGCTGTGACAAATTCCCCCATGCACACCAGGCCAAGAGAAAGAGAGCAGGTCAAAAAAACCCTTACCTCTCTCTGGGTTTGTTTTTTGTTTGTTTGTTTGTTTGTTTGGGAGCCATGCTGGTGATGCTCTTGGCACAGAACTCTTGGCGCAGAACTCAAGGATCACTCACATCTGGTGAGGCTCAGCGAAAGGCAAGCATCCTATCTGTTGTACTCTCTCTAGAGCCCCCCTCACCTCCTTCTGGATGAAATCAGACTACTCATTAAGTCCAGCCCTAGAGTTGCCTCACCACTATGTCCCCTTGTTTACTCTGGCTGGGAGTATTCTTGGAAGAGCAAAGAGTTTTTAGCCAGAGAAGGGCAGTCCATATGCTCATTCCAGGTACTGTTCAGATTCTAGAGATAAGTATTGAGCCACACCACAACCGGCTTTCTCTGCAGCTATTCAGTAGATTCTCATGCTCTCTATCCCCCCTCCTTTGATGTGGGCTCTAATTTGGGTCAAGTATTCAATGCCTTAACTGTATCATGTCTTCAGTAACGTGGCCTGAGAAAGACTATCTTGTTCTTGTTCCTGGTCCTCCCATCAGCCAGTCCTCTCCTCCTCAGCAACTTCTTATCCATGTTCCCTGTAGCAACTTCTAACAGACTTCCCTGGCTTCATGCTGATGCACAATTCTTCTGAATGTTGATAACATTCAGCCTTGGAACCCTGCCTTTCTCCCATCCTCTCTTGTTCCCAAATTTCTATAGTGTCCCCATTTTTTTCTAAGCACATCAGGTTTTCAACTTTCCTGTATTGCTTTCCAGGCCCACTTTAGTTGGGACCTGATCAGCATTTTCAGTGTGGTGTGTGACTCCCCTCAACCACTAGATAATACACAAACATTTCTCAAGCCCTCCATTGTTAACCCTTCTTCTGTGTTCCTGGAGCACTTACACACTGTTCCATACCTTTGCTGTTTGCTATAGTTTTGTGTACATTGCTATAGCTTTGTTTTATAATTCTTGAAGTTCAGGCCCACATTTTTCACTTTTAGTTCCCTGTAATACCCCAGCACTATTTAAGTATTTTTCTTTTTCTTCTTAGTTTATGTGTGTATATTGTAAACATTTACATGGGTAATAAAGCAAATCATAATAAAGGTGAGGGGAAGGAGTGGCAAGAATACAGAGGTGACCTAGATTACATAACTTAAAAAGATATGGAAGGAAAACAACCCTGGGGAGGAAGAAGTAAGAAGTGGATGGGAGGTAACAGGGTCAGGGGCCTCATACAAATTGGCGGTGTAGAGCTGTGGCATACCTATGTATCTGAACCAGGAACCAATAGAACTCAAAGGATGAGATCCAAATAACAATGACCAAAGTTAAAATTGTGCCCATTGAGGAGGTAAGCAAGGGACTGGGAGGGAAACTCGGACATTAGAGGAGTAAAGTTAACACTGGTAGTGGGATTGGGTTGGGACATTGTATGATTGAAACTCAAGTATTAATCACTTTGTAAATCACAATTCCCTAATAAAAATGAAAAAAGAAACAAAGAATATAAAATCAAAAGCACACTTCACACCTCATCATTCCTAGAAGGCCATTAAATAGTTTGCAGCCTAGCATCCTTTGGAAGATTGTATTGGGTATGGGGCAAATGTTGAACAGTGCTAGGAGTTGTCTTTAGGGAAGTGGGTCTTTTGGAGGGAGGGTGCTTTAGTACACACCCAGAAGTGCTCTGAGATTTTTCCTGGATTCTTGCTCAGGAGAGACACCTGAATTGCCCCAGGGACCTGATGAGTACTGGGGCTCAAACTGGGGCCAGTCTTATGCAGGGCTAGCACCTTACCTATTGTACCTCTCTCTCTGGCTCCAGAGAGAGAATTGCATCTTTTGGGAAGAGTACCCTTTGATTCTTTGTAAGAGCCCTAATTCTTTGGGGGCCCTGACGGACACTGGAAAATATACCCCAAATCATATTTAGTACAGGATTCTATCTGTCATGTTTTCAGTGTTTAAAAATACTAAAGGGGAATATTACCACCATGCTGAAACCACTCTCCGCACACCTGAAGGTACTGGCAGAGGGACAAATCCACGCGGGTTCCGGGGCCAAGATCTCCCAGCCTACTCGGATTGGAGTCGAGCATCCTCCACCCAGATCCTCCAAATTCCAGTAGCCGGGGGTCACACCCACCACCTGGCCCCCTGGCGCCGTGTAATCCCATCAATGGCCAAGACTCAGAGACTAAAATCCAGCTCCCGGAACCGCGCGGCCGCATTTGCGGCCGCGCAACATCTTATCAGAACATCTTTTATGACATCTTATCATCTCATACCTACTTTGGACAAACTTGCAGGCTATCGAATGTAGCCTGCCCACAGGGCAGAGTCTGGCAAACTCCCCATGGCGTACCAAATATGCCAAATACCAGTAACAATGATGGGTCTCATTCTCCTGAAGAGCCTTGAATATAATCTCAGGGTTAGGATGAAAGAGACATTACTGGGGCCTGCTCGAGGCATTCGACGAATAACAGGAAGATGAAATGAAATGAAATGAAATGAAATGAAATGAAATGAAATGAAATGAAAGGGGAATATCACAAGTTATGGTTTTTTTGCTTTATTTTATTATTATTAATGCAACATGGTTTATAATATTTTTAATGTTTATGCTTTTGCTGTACATTGTTACTGCACCTCCACTGCTACCAATATGCCACAGATGCTCCACTAACATCCTTATGTCACTTCCAGTCTGCCACATCAATCACCATCCCAACACTCTCCCCAGTTATATAATCTCAATTCTGTTGTCAGAGTCTAGCAATTTGTGTTCAACATATATGTTATATCCCCTCACTTTGTTTCTTTATATACCACATATGAGTGATTGTCCAGTACTTGTCATTCTCACTCTGACTTATTTTGCTTAACATGGTATTTGCCAGTTCTATCCAAATTGTAGTAAACGGCAAAACTTCATCATTTCTTAACACCATAGTAGTATAACATTGTGTATAAGCACCATGGTTTCTTTATTCACTCATGTAGTTGGATTCTTGGCTTATTTCCAGATCTTAGTTATTGTAAAGAGTGTTTCAATGAACGTAGGCATACATACATCCTTTCTAATTAATGTTTGTGTGTTCTTGAGAGAAAGGTCAAGGAATGGAATTGCTGGATAATATGGAAGTTCTATTTTTAATTTTTGAGCAAACTTCATACTGTTTTCCATATGAATGAATCAGATAAAAGTCCCACCAACAATTAAAAAGGGATAATTTTCATGTCATCCCCTCCAACACTGGTTATTTCTGGACATTTTTTACTATAGGCCATTTTAACTGGTGTGGAATGATATCTCACTGTTTCTTTTATTTGCATTTTCCTGAAAATAAATGATGATGATCACTTTTTCATATACCTTTTGGCCATCATTGTCTTATTTGTTTTTGAAAAATATTTTTTAAATAACTGTGATTTACAAAGTTATTGAAAATTGAGTTTTGGGCATACAGTATGTCTTATTTGAGGGAGTGATCATTCACTCCTCATTTTTAATAGGATTGTTTGATTTTTTGTTGTTTTTGTTTTTTGTGAGTGCTTCATAAAACTAGGATCTATGCCTTATGTGTCTTATGTGCCTTAAAAGGCATGTTAGATAGTCTTTTCTCAGAATGTCTCATGGATTTCTGTAAAATTTCAGACAGTCATAAAAGGACAACAAAGTGAAGATGGGAAGCATTTATGAAAATAAGCTTTTTCTACCTTCTATGGTGCTGTGCTCTCTGAGTGGCAATGCTGATTACTAATGGTTTTCCTTTTTCTGCCAAGAAAATTCAGTTCCTACTGGGATTTGTTCTAAATGATAGACTATTGTGCCTGTGTGTGCCCACTGGGGTTAATTCTCTATCTCACTAAAACTTAAAATGTCATCCTGAACTCTCAGGCTTAATTGTTACAGATACTTTATAACTGAAGCATTCAGAATTCTCAGGCTGTTCCCTCTTGCTATCATAATTGATACTTGATGAATATTCTCAGGCTTCTTGGAATTTTCCTGTGCCACATTATGCAACATTGTAAGAGGAAGGGGATAAAGAAAGGAGAGAGAAGGGTGAGGAGCACACACTGAAGAAGGAGCCGGAGAGAGCTGGTGACAAAATGAGGGAGAAAATGAGAGTTTTGTGTATAGGTGTATGCGTGTGGCTTTCTTTGGAGTACTACAAGTCAGGCGCTGCAACAGGGCCCCTTGATCTGCCAATGAAGATGGATTCTAGCTGGTTATCCAGATCATGGTTTTCTGCATTCTACTCGCTGTGGACTCCTGAGGTAGTCATTTCTGCTCTTTACTGAAAGCATGTGGTTGGCCATTTGGACGTGAGTTTTAAAATGTCACGATGCTCTCCAGTGTTCTGTTCTTTTGCTATTTTGAAACACTGATGGATGTCTTGGCATCAGCTGGGAAAGAGGACAATATTATCCAGCCTGAATAGCTAATCTCCTAAGAAGTACAAGGTTGAAGGATCTTAGTGCACATGAATCTTATTAAATGTGCTTATAAAATATGTTCTATCCAAATAAGCTTAGCAACCCCTAAAATAACCTTTTCTGATCCAAGTCTGGAACTTGGCATGCTTCATAGATCTCTAAGCCAAGATTAGTGAAATGATGACAGTGTTCTTTGTGCATGGGAAAATGGGAAGTAGTGATGTGATGTCCTCTATTGATTCATTGCACTTATTCTGTCCATCTTAGGGGCAGCCAGGCCCAACTGGAACTCAAGGCCCAACAGGTCCTCAAGGATTCACTGGCCCTACTGGTTTATTGGGGCTGAAAGGAGAAAAGGGTTCCCCAGGCCCTCTGGGACCATATGGACCAAAAGGAGATAAGGTGAGAGCACCATTGACTTTTCTTTGATGCATAGGCCATAAGGGTGAAGGAATAAAATGCTAAATCTAAGTTCTGTTTATTTATTGAAACAATGCTATTTCTAAATATTGCAATGCCAGGTTACCTACTTTAATAAGAGACTAGGTGATCTGCTGCTTCTAGATTAACCCATTTCTGGAAAGATTCCTATGTCAAATAAGCCATAAAGTGAATCCATTAGCTACTTGCTAGAAAAGTATACTGGCTGGATTTGGAAGTCATGTGCAGATATCTAAACTCAGCATGGGTTAGAAGTCCAACCAGCTGGGCAGAAGGGATTAGGAATCCAAGCAAAAAAGCTGGGAAGCAAGGGGTCAGAATGCTTGAAAACAATCTTCTTTGTGAATATAAGGAAAGAGATACAAGAGATGTTGATCATGTTGTGGTTGGCTAACTATATTTAGAAGCAGTTTATGTTCCCTGGAGATTTGGTGGTGTTGGGGTTGGGCCACACCCAGTGATGCTCCTCCTGACCTACCTTTGGCTCTGTGCTCAGAAGTGACCTCTTAAGGAAAACTGGGAACAGTGCAGTGCCAAGGGCCATGCCAAAGTCTATAGACCATGATCAGCCCATTGAGTTCTTTCCCTGGATAATCATCTTCTCTTCACTCTATTGGTTGACATGGAATTTAAACTTTTTAGAGTGAAGAGTGTGGGGTGTCTCCTGGTTTCTGAGATCTGATGTGTTTGTCTTGTTTGAATAATTCAGTGAGCTGACAGAGAATTATCCCCACTTCACAGGGATAAGCAGGCACTGCACCTTGGTTCTAGGTCCATTTGCATAGAAAACCTTATCTGTAGGATTAGAGTGAAAAGGGATTTTTTTTTTTGCTTTTTGGGTCACACCCAGCATTGCACAGGGTTTACTCCTGGCTCATGCACTCAGGAATTACTCCTGGCGGTGCTCGGGGGACCATATGAGATGCTGGGGATCGAACCTGGGTTGGCCACGTGCAAGGCAAACACCCTACCCGCTGTGCTATTGCTCCAGCCCCGTGAAAAGGGAATTTTATTGGTTAAGCCTTTTACGACTTTCCTGAGTTTCCCAAATGTAAAGGCAGCATGTCTTATTGAGCCTTTATTTTAGGCCTATGCCACATTGCCCAAGAAAAGAAATGGTCTTGGAACACAGACTAATCCAAAGCACAAGGTAGAGGTGACTGATCTCTTAGAAATGCAATAAAGAGCAAAGTAGATACAATGGGGAGACAGAGGTACAAAAATCTTAACCACTCAGGTTCACAAAATGTTTTCATCAGTTTTTTTTTATTAATTTTTATTAGTGAAACACCATGAGGTACAGTTGTAGATTTACAAATTTTTGTGCTTGGGTTTTGATTATACAATGATCAAATACCCATCCCTCCACCAGTACCCATTTTCCACCACTTCCAGGTTCACAAAATGTATGCACAGACACTGCATCTAACGGTAATCAAATGAACTGTCTCTTACATTCATCTGTCTATTTGCATTTTTAGGGTCCCATTGGAATTCCTGGCTTTCTTGGCATTGACGGGATCCCAGTGAGTATTTCCACAAAGACGTTTTTCATTTATATTTTTTTATTGTAGTTTAGGTAACATGGCTGCAATAATGTTAACATTTATGGTATTGATGTACAATGTTACTGCACTTTCACCACCACCAAACAGCCCAAGACATTCAGCCACTGTTCACAGAGACATTTGCAGTATCACCCTCTAGATTCTGCCTAGTAGCTTTAACACTTAGGATTTAATAACAACCTTCTTCATGAAGCATGTGCAAGGTTAAGAGATCTATGTGATAAAGTTTGAAGGGCAGTGTCATACACAGTTTTCCTTGGATTCAGATATAATAGCACTAAATCAGACAGTTAGGAGGTATAGAGACATATACAGGCATAAAAAACATCAATATCTTATTGAGCAGGAGTTACTCCAGATCAGAAAGCCAAAATAAGTCCTGAACACTGCTGGATATTGCCATCTCCCTCCAAAATAATAACAGGTAATAAATACATAACTAAAAATATAAATTTCCTAGAAAAAGATAGATTTTTGTATACCACAGGTGTCCAAAGCTGGAAAATTATTGATTTCAGAACAATTATTGCCAAAGTTCCATCTTAGTATATTTGGGTACGCAGAGAAGGTGAAGTTGTAGCACCTTGTTCATACATTTGGTTCCAGCTTGATTCATTAAAGTATTCATTCATTTGAGAGAGGAGCACGGAGCTGTCTCCAGTATGTGCCTGAGTATAAAGGAGAGAGAGAAGAACATGGGTGCATGCTAGGGTTCAAAAATAGACAAAGAGTCAGAGCCTCACAGAATATTTTACTTCTTTGTGGTACACCTTGTTAGATCATCTGAGAATCCTAGGACTGACTAATTTTTTTCTCTTTGAACAGGGTCACCCTGGACAGCCAGGACCCAGAGGCCCACCTGGCCTGGATGGCTCTAATGGAACTAAAGGAGAAGTTGGATTCCCAGGTACTCATGGTTATCCTGGACTTACTGGATCTGTGGTATGTTATTTTTATTTATTCATTTATTTATTTATTATAGTATGCTATTTTTATACCTCATTTTCAATGAGGTGTTGTCTGACTCTGAGTATACCATGTTTCTGCTTCTTTGATGATTTCATTAAGCATATCTGGGACAACCAATAGCAACTTGTCCAAGACAAGAGGGCATGAATCCCTGCTGGCAGCACCACAGCATACAGTCTAAAGAACACCAGTGGCAAGGGAGTTTACACATGTTATATCACATGTTATATGACTTAGAGCTTGTCTGTAATGATAACTTTAGACTTTTCAGGATTGTTTTAAAAGTATTATTAAAGTATATGCTTGGCCTATTTGACAGACTCTCATGTCAGACGATCCTGCCTTAAAAACTTACCTGGGATCATGAAAACACAAAGAGAGGCAAATGAAATTAAAGGCAGTGAGCCAAAGGGCTTAGCAAATTCAATCTATACATGTGATTCTTAATCAGGGGTATTTCTGGCTCCCAAGGGCCATTTGGCTATTATTTGACATATTTGATTATCACAACTGGGGATGTATTACTATGTCAGTAGTGAGAAACAATTTTTACTGGCATCTTTTTGCCCTCTTTGTGCTCCCCATATCATAGCCCTTGGTCTTGGTATTGACAAAACATTTATTGGATCCTGGTGTCACCGCTTTTTAATTCCTTTCCCCCACAAAGAGGGCTTAAATATTCTACTCAAAGGGATCCCTACAAGGTGCCTGGCCCTTTGCAGACTGCTTTTATAGGTGTGTGGAAAAAGAAAAATAAGACATTTTTAACACATTTGAAACAATTTAATACAAAGAGACTGATGTGGCATGTTTACCTATAAATCATACTATCCTTATATAACTTCATACCCATATCATTGGTTTGGCTGAAAGAACAGCAGTGACACCTTCAGAGACCAAAATATGGTTGTGTTATACGTGTGTATAGGAAACAGACAGACAAAACACAAGCCCTGGATTTTCATGAAGGACCTTGGTATCTAAAGATCAAACCAATTTGCTTCAGGGAGTGAGAAAAAAAAAAGATATTACTAACAGAATGAGCTGTTACAAAGGCCTTCAAGTATTGCCATGGCAACGAGAAAGAAGAACAAATCACTTTTGTGCCAAAAGAATAGAACAGAGTAAGGAAATGCTGCCCCCCAGAGGGAGAAGAGAAATCTTGGGGTAATGAACATCCCCTGTCAAGCAGAAAAGAGTAAACCTAATCTTGTCCTTAAGCCTCCCCTTAAGCTAAATTTAAAAAAAAAAAAAAAAAAACCTTGGGTACGTATTTTACTAAGCTGAAGTTTACTAGTTTTACTGAAACTCAGAAATTCGTTGACGTTTCTTTGGTAAGAGTAATGGCCACAGGAATAAGAGGAAACAGGAAGTGCTAATAAAGAAACTAATTTCATTTCAAGGAATACATTTTTATTTTACCTGCGATCTGTATGCTAAAGACATCCCTTGTTCAATCAATGCTTCGGTTCTGAAAGCTTTACTCTATGCCCAATACTAATACTGACTCCCTTTTAAGATCAGGGGCTTTGATATTCCTCCAGAGAACATCTTCCAGCAGATAATAACAGGCAGCTGCCTTTGAGACAGTAAAAAGTTAGTTGACATGGGGCTAGGGTATGCTTTAATTTTTTTTCCATGCGAACAACGGCTTCTTTGGTTTTAAATTTAAAGTTGTATGCTAGAAGAACAAGATGAAGATAATTTTGTTAGTGTTTCTAGACCCCATGCATTCTCCAACTAGCTCACATGATCCATGGCCTGTATCTTGTTTTTACATTTTTAAAACGTTTTGAGGGAAAACAATGAATAAGGAAAAAAACTATATATGGCCTGTGATGCCTATATCAAATTTTCTGACTTCTATTCCAAACATAGGACTTATAAGTCCTTTGAGGGGTAGAGCATGTATATTACAGGTTTGTGAGTGACAAGTATGTTATATGTGGATATTCTTAGCAGTGGTCTAAATATATCCAAATTCCCCCACTTTTTAATCCTTTTAAAGTTTGGGGGTAAGGGAACAGACATAAAGCTTTGAAGGGCAGCGTCATACACAACACTGTATAGGGAATGTACTTTGTCCCTTAGCACAATCAGCTCTGCAACAGAGTGATGCTACTTACTGTCCTATCTTCTATCTCATCGGATCATGCTGTTAAAAATACTCTGTATGTGTGCATTTCTTCACAAGCATTTATCTTTAATATTTATACTGACTTTTCGTTTATTTAATTTTTTTAATTTTTTTAAATTTTTAAAAAAATTTTAATGAATCACCATGAGGTACAGATACGGACTTACGAACTTTTGTGATTACATTCCAGTCATACAATGATCGAGTACCCATTCCTACACCAGTGCCCATTCTCCACCACCAATGTTTCCAGTATCCCTCCCGCCACCCCCTATCCCCACCTGCTCTGTGGCAGGCACATTCTCTTTTACTCTCTCTCCTTTGGGGTGTTATGGTTTGCAATATGGTATACTGACTTTTTAGCTTTAATTTATTTCCTTTCCAAAATTTTCTTTTGGTAAAGCACCATGAATTACAAAGTTATTCATAGTTGTAATTCATGGTGCGTTATCAAAAGAAAATTTTAACATACATTGTTTCATCACCAACCCTGCCACCAGTGTAAACTTCCCTCCACCAGTGTTACCAGCTTTTTTCTCTTAACCATGGCCCCTCCCACCCAAGCCCTATTCTGCCATCTTGACAGATGTCTTTTAAATCTAGTTATTAAAATTTGGGTCTCATGATTTCATTGTTATTGACTCTGTAGTTAGAATATTGAGTTTTATCATTCCTTGACACTACCCATGATTCTGAGTGCCCTTAACTTCTGCCCTTACTGTTTCTCCTCTATCTCTTCTCCCCTTCCTCTTCACTCTTTCTTTCTCCTACTAACCTCTGAGGACAAGGGTTATCTAGGCATCCCCCCCTTTAAACCATTGCATTTCCTCATCCAGTTCACAAGTATATCTTATCCTTTTTTCTGCCAGGGGCTTTTTGGTCATAAAGGAGCTAAAGGCGAACCTGCCCTTGCCAAGGGTAATTTCAAAGGAATGAAGGTAAGAGCCTCTAAAACAGATAGTTAAATCAGCTAGAAACTGAGTTCCCTGGGATAGGGTTCTTGCTCCAATAAGAACATTTTCAGAATGAGAATCTGTGTGTCTATTTAAGAAGACCAAGCTGGATTTAAAACAGATCCAGAGCTTTTTGTGGTAAAAACATTGACAGAAATGTTTGTAACCACATTGTCAAAGACATTTGCTCTGTAGTAACTAGACCCAAATTACTAAGCAAGAATATCAGCAAACAATAAGCTCACATGGATATCCTTTTCTTTAACAAATTGAGCCATTTTCTGGAGGGAGATATCTTTTGTCTACTCTAGAATCCTTATTACCTACATCCTTGGTTCGATGTCTTGCTTGTCTCTGCTCATCTACCTGCCCGTATTTTGACCCATTTCTCTCTGACCCTACCCCATCATCCTGTCTCAGCCCTTAGACATATATTATAAAGGGTGCTTATCAACTCTGAAGTCAACTGGAAACTTTCATTTCTTCCTATAATTGACAAGAACCATCATGATTCTTGCAACTGAACAGTTGGTATATGCTGTTTCATATCCTATGGACCCTTTTAAATTCTGGTGGACCCTATTCTAATACAGTGTAAAAATGAACCCATCATCATTGCCCAGCTCTGATAGGACTCTGAACCCAACAACATCTGTGGAGAATATGCACCAAACTAACTCAGCTGAAGATAGCACCATTCTATCTTTTATTCACCTCTCTTCACTCTTCTATTTACATCTGGAATATTGGAAATTATTTTTAAAGGCAGTGATGAGAATGGGTGTCTGATAACTAGAGAAAGTAAAGAGTTCATGCTCTTGGATACAGATGCCATAGCAGAAAATAGAATATCAGACTGGAAAGGTTTTCATACTTGCAAAATTTGTGGTGCTCATTATACAGATAGAAAAACTGAGGTATACTGAAACTATGTGACATGCTCAGAATCATCCAGCTAAATCTTAGGCAATGCTCTTTCATGCTTCACAACACTGATTTTGGGCTATAAGCTAAGTGGAGTAAGGTGTCAAAGTACAGCCATTGTCAGAGTAGCAAACATTGATTAAATGGCTTGCCAGATGTCTAAAAGACCCCAGACCCAGTGGAATAAAGCAATTTTCACAAGATGGTTATATTACAGATTCACACAGTGGCTTAAGATGCTGCAAAATAATTAAAATGTAATCAGAGCCTGTATGCTCTGTTGATTCCCCCTTGAAACTTCTGATTTACATTGTATACATATGGGCACAGTATCTCTGAGTATAAAGGCACACACAGGAAGGTAGATTTGTCTCCAAAAAGAACAGGAAAATCACCAGCCTGCTGAAGCTACCTTCTAATTGACAAATTCCTAGCAAAGGTGAAAATTCATTAAGTGAAGTAAATGTGAAATCCTGTTCAACCGAAACAATAATATTTGCCTTCGAGAGTCCAAATTTTTCTCTAAGAAAGAAAAGTGATTGGTTGACTATTCAATTCATGCATCATTCAAAACAAAACAAAACCTTAACAAAAGAAGAATTAGCTTCAGCAATGAAACTTAAGTCAGTTTATCTATGAACTAAGATAGACTTAATTTATTAATCATTTTATTTAACAGGGTGATCCTGGGCTGCCTGGACTAAAAGGACACTACGTAAGCTGTCATTTATATATTGAGCTTCCATTGTGTAATCAATAATTATACTTGGTACATTGTTTACTTTGGCATGGTGTTCAAAGGTCTCTGTAAATTTTCCCGAGGATAATTCAGACAGTTGTCGTAGAATGGGTCCCCCTATTGACATTTTCCAGATGAGAAAGTCCTGAGAGGATGTGCTGTCCACCTCAACTTTCACAGCAGGCAAGCTTTCAGATCTTTAAGCCAGTGACCTACGTACTCCCTAGGATATATTAGAAAAGAATTTGCCTTTCATTCGGCATTTACTAAGTGTTTTCTGTGAGTTCAGAGCACTGTGAGTAAAACAAAAGAAGGAAACCCTCTTCTTTAAAAGGTATTCCATATAGAAATTCCTTTCAATGACTCTTTGGACAATAGTGAGTCCCTGAAAGGCCCTAAGTTGGCATTAATGAGAGCTTTATTTCCCCTTGAGTTTTACACTGTCATTACTTTCCTTTGAAGTAACTTAAGGTCTCTTCTTTCTTTATTTTTCCTTTATTTGAGGATGGGGGGGCGTCTTCCTTTCTTCTTGCCTTCCTTTCCTCTATCATCAAAACAGTTATCAAGTGCCTCCTCTTAGCAAAGTGCTGAGAGTAATCCCTGAAATAATGCAAATGAGGATCTCAACCATTACCCACTTCCCAAATGTGTAAAATTAATAGGAATGTGGTGTAAAAATTGCACAGGAAGAAATTCATGTCTTTATTTTTTATATTTGTTTTTTGTCTGGGGGGGGTCACACCCAGCAGTACTCAGGGCTTACTCCTAGCTCTGTGTTCTTGGATCACTCCTGATAGTGCTGGAGGGACCAGATGGGAAGCCAGAGATCAAATCCAAGTTAGCTACATACAAGGCAACCACCATACCTGCTGTACTATCACTCTGGCCCAGAAAAAAAAATAATTCTTAGGAAAGAAATATCCTCTTAAGGATATGTCATGAGAGATTTTATATCTATGATAGAGATATTAGCCCCTGAGACTAGAAAGTGATGATATTTACACTGACTGGCAGTAGTAGTAGGAGACTTTCTATATAGGATCAATATCAGATCAATTAGACTTGCCCTGCACACTGATGACCAAGCCCAATCTCTGGCTACCTATGTGGTCCCCGGAGCACAGAGCCAGAAGTAAACCTTGAGCACCATCAAATGTGGCCTAAAAACAAATAAAAAGGTAAGTCCCAATATTTGAAAAAAGTTGTTACGAATGTTCTTGCCCAATTATTTAATATATATATATATATATATATATATATATATATATGCAATTCTACTTTTCTGGAGAAACTGTCCTGCCTCTTTGATATTGGTTAAAACTTGCCTGTCTAGGGCCCACAAGGAGCACCTGGATCTCCAGGATTTAAAGGACCCAAGGGACCACCAGGATTGCATGTAAGACTAATTTAAGGTCTACTGACTGGTCATGTAAGTCACATATATATTTTATCCAACAGACCAGGAATTGACTGTAAGCCTATGTACATGTATCTACCTACTCCTAGTGGCAAAAGGCAGCTTCCAGTTTTGAGGGATTAAAAAGAAATATGCTCTTGTAAAAAAAAAAACTATTTGTTATCTTTACTGACCACTATCTTTCAAACCATCTACTCTGTGACTCCCAAGTCTAAAATTCTGTAGCACTGTATCACTGTCCTCCCTGTTGTTCATCGATGTGCTTGAGCTGGCCCAGTAATGTCTCCATTGTGAGACTAGCTACTGTTTTTGGCATATCGAATACATGAATGCATCACGGGTAGTTTGCCAGACTTTGCCATGCGGGCAAGATACTCTCAGTTGCTTTCCAGGCTCTCCAAGAGGGGTGGAGGAATCGAACTCGGCTTGGCCACATCAGCCATGTGCAAGGCAAATGCCCTACCCACTGTGCTATCGCTCCAGCCTGCCTAAAAGTCTAACAATCTAAAATGTAGCAGATACCTAGTACATCTCTTAGCACCTTCCACTTTTCTCACTCATGACCTAACTTGCTAGTTAATCATACCTTCCATGCTGAGCACAGAAGAAGCTTAAAACCCTCCTCAACACTGTAGCTTAAGCAATATTATCATGGTCAGAGACACAGTATAGCAGGTAGGGCACTTACCTTGCACTTAGGTCCAATATTTGACTAGTATAAATAAAATTGCTATAAATATTCTTGACAAATTATTTATGATATGTATACAATTCTACTTTTCTGGACAAACTGTCTTGCTTTTTTGATATTGGTTAAAACTTGCCTCTTTAGGGCCCAAAAGGAGCACCTCGACCATATGGGATGCTGATGAGTTCAATCACTAGTATCCCATCTGGTCCTCTGAGTATAATAGAAGTGAAACTTGAGACAGAACTAGGAGTAAGCCCTGAGTACAGCTGGGTATGATCGCCAAACTGCTGTCCCCACTACACACACACACACACACACACACACACACACACACACACAAACCTCAATAACTATATACCAATCCTTTGTGATATCAGTGATACCAAACTTACTTGCAATCATTGGTATACTTTTTTGCCTCTCTGGGATATATTCCCAGGAGTGGTATTGCTGGGTCAAATGGAAGCTCAATTTCTAATTTTTTGAGAATCGTCCATACTGTTTTCCAAAAGGGTTGAACCAGTTGGCATTCCCACCAGCAATGAAGGAGGGTTCCTTTCTTGCCACATCCACGCCAACATCGGTTGCTTTTGTTCTTTTGGATGTGGGCGAGTCTCTGTGGTGTGAAATGAATTCTCATTTTTGTTTTGATCTGCATCTCCCTGATGATTAATGATGTAGAGCATTTTCTCATGTGCCTTTTAGCCATTTGGATTTCTTCCTTGAGAAAGTTTCTGTTCATTTCGTCGCCCCATTTTTTGATGGGGTTGGATGTTTTCTTCTTGTGGAGTTCAAGCAGTACTTTGTATATCCTTGATATCAACCCCTTGTCAGATGGGTATTGGGAGAATATTCTTTCACATTCTGTAGACTGTCTTTGTATTTTGATCACTCTTTCTTTTGAGGTGCAGAAGCTTCTTAGTTTAAGATAGTCCCATTTGTCTATCTCTGTTTTCACTTGCTTGGACAGTGGCGTGACATCTTTGAAGATACCATTAGCTTCAATGTCATGGAGGTTTTTGCCAACTTTGTCTTCAATATACCTTATGGATTCTGGTCTGATGTTGAGGTCTTTAATCCATTTTGATCTTACTTTTGTACATAGTGTTAGGCAGAGATCTGAGCCCAGTTTTTGTATGTAGCTGTCCAGTTTTGCCAGCACAACTTGTTAAAGAGAATTTCCTTGATCCACTTCACATTTCTTGCTCCCTTACCAAAGGTTAGATGATCATATGTTTGGGGGGAGATGTCAGTATATTCAACCCTGTTCCATTGGTCTGCAGCTCTGCTTTTTTTTCCAGTACCATGCTGTTTTAATTATTACTGCTTTGTAGTAGAGTTAGAATTAGAAAACATAGCCTAATTTCTGTGGTTTGGGGAAATCTCTGTTCTCAGATTATTCTCTCTCTGTACATGAAATAACATCACTGGTTACTGGTGCCCGCTCGAGTAAATCAATGTACAACGGGAGGACAGTGCTACAGTGTTACTTTAGTATAGGTACACTACTGTTAGTGTTTTTAAATTCCTGGTCAATTGGAGGCAGTTATGCCTTAAATTTTTACTACCTAAGGAGGGAGGTGATTATCAGGTCAATTTGGAAGGTCTCAAAGGACACTTAAATAATTTAACCACAATTTAAAAAAGCTATAATCTGCTATACCAAAGCCTGGCTATACCAAGAGAATGGGGGTCTTATCCCAAGTGCTGCTCAACATGCCAGGTTTGAAGACTGAAAGTAATAAGTGCTTACTTTTTTCTTTTCTTTTTAAATAGGGCCCACCAGGCTCCCCAGGCCTTCCTGGTCCTGATGTAAGTATATTTTATTTTGGGACATTTGGCCTCCTACTAAATTCTCTAGTCTACCCAGAAATTCTGGATGTTTGTTTATTTCAAAAGCATAATTGACCTTTTTTCTTTTTTAAAGATGCATTTTATACCAGGTTTTCACTCCATGGCTTAGAGGCCAGCCACACACTCTAGGGGCAAAGACAGCTCAGATAGAGAAGGGAGCACCAAATAAAGGGTGGTGGGAAGATCCGCCCAGGATGGGAGATGCATGCTGAAAGTAGTCTATAGACAGAACATGATTGCCACCCAATGTCTCTTCTGCAGACCACAGCACCCAAAAGGAGAGATAGAACAAAGGGGAGTGCCCTGCCACAGAGGCAGGGTGGGATGGGGGATGGGAGGGTGGGAGGGATACTGGGATTGGTGAAGGTGGAGAATGGGCACTGGTGGTGGGATGGGTACTCGATCATTGTATAACTGAAACCCAAGCACAACAACTTGTAAGTCTATAACTGTACCTCATGGTGTTTCACTAATAAAACAAACAAAAAAATCTTTTAAAAATGCATTTTAATTGTGACAACATTAGTTTGCACAGCTATATATGCTTAGGGGTACAATTTCATACCTCTTTTAAACATAACTTCTGATTAATAAAAAAATGCATTCCAATGTAAGTTTCTAGAACTTGTTTAATAACTGCCTTTGTTTTTCTTCCTGACATCCCCATGCCTCAGGGTAATATGGGTTTAGGTTTCCAAGGAGAAAAAGGAGTTAAGGTAAATAAATTCTGTAATAAAACACAATTTCTATTCTGCTGAAAAAAATCTCTACTTGCATACATGTGCCTGTTTGGATTTAAATTTGGATTTCCCTGTGCTTTGGGTAACGCATTTCCTACCTCAACATGGATCCTCTCTTGGGATCCCTTGAAGCTGTGTGTGTACATGCAAACATTAGATATTGTGGATTTTTCCCTTCAAAATGTCACAGTCTTTCTGCTCTCTCTCTCTCTGTGAAGATATGTGTATAAACATGCTCTCTTGAAATAAAATACCTCTTCCATCCACCCCGGTATTTCCCTGGCATTTTACATATCATAGCACTTCTTTTTTCCTGTTTCTTCTCTTTTCTCTGTTTTCTCTCTTCCTCCCATTTTTTTCTCTCCTCCGACTGCTCTCTCTGTCAAAATACACACACACACACACACACACACACACACACACACACACACTTCTCCTCTTTAATCTCTTACTCGCCAGCCTCTTTTATCCCCTTTATTTTCTGATTTTCATCTTTCCTTTTCTACAAAATATAGTCATTCGGGGATCTGAAGGGGAGCCCCCTCCCCAGTTCTACCCTTCATCGCTATCTCTTATAGATTGCACCTGCCTCCTTTGGAAGGAGCAAACGCAGCAGTGTTCTGACACAGACTTTACTACACTACGTTTGCCTGTGTTCTTGACAATGATTGGACCAATTCGAGTCAGATCCTCATTGCCAAGAAGTAGCCATTCACCTTGCGCAAACCCCTTTTTCCCTCTTGCCTAAACACCCTTTCCTGGATACCCATGGCAACCATCAACCTGCAGTTACCATTCATCCATCTGATTTGCTCCCTCTGCAGTGTTGGTACTGAATGCATTAGGTCAGGCTTTCAATTTTTTTAATCCCTTGACACCTTCATAATTATGTTCCCTCACTGATGCAAAAGTGAAGATGAAGACGCCAAAGGAATGGACAGTTTATTTATTTATTATATCCCGAGAAAACTTGCCCTTTGGGAAAATGGTCTGTGTGATTTCTGCTTTGCTTAATGTTCCTTGCCGTTGATCTTCCAGGGAGACATTGGCCTCCCTGGCCCTGCAGGACCACCACCATCTAGTGGAGAACTGGAATTTATGGGATTTCCCAAAGGAAATAAAGGATCTAAGGTAAAGCTAATCAAACTTTTCCTATTAATACCAGAGTTTAGTTAATATTAGTGGGAAGAATAGAGGGTTCTAGGTAATTAATCTGAAAGTGAAAGCAAAAGCTTTCTTTGTTTTGTCTTTTGTGAAAGGCTACCTTAAAATTCTGCATTTTTGGTACGTGGCTTTCTGACTATTTACATGCTATTTTCTCTATTACAGTTTCTTAAATTCTATTTTCAAGATGCTGAATAACATAAAACAAACATGACACAGTTGAATCTTTTCCCTCAGAACTCCCAACCTGCTCAATATTTATGAGGTGACCAAAGGCATAGTGTATAAATAGTAGTTTTTGAGTTATCCTTTTAAGAAATATATTCACTTGTCCTTAAACTTGACTCATACCAGGGCCAGAGTTCAGTGGCTGGGCTGTTTGCCTTGCATGCGGCTGACCCCAATTTGATCCCCAAGCAACGCATATCACCCAAGCCATCAGGAGTGATAATTGACAGCAGGACCAGGAGTAAACCCTGAGCCCATCAGGTGTGGCCAAAAACCAAAAAACAGAACAAAAATGACACATAGAAAATATCAACTAGTGAGAGAAGACCTTTTGAATGAAGGTCTTGAACTACTAACCTGAAAGTGTAAATGTGTTCAGCTGAGATAGTTTATAATCTGTATTTTTATGGGAATTAGTGTACATATGGTTGTATTCAGTGACTGTTTTATGTTGTCAAAGTGTATTGATACCTTTCAATAACTTCAATTCCCTTCCTTCCTGATGTTCCTATAAGTTTTGTAACTCTGTACCTGTGGTTAAGAGGCTAAGAGGAGAAAGGTGTTTACTCCAATTTCTGTTTTTCCTTTTTTGTGGGAAGGGGTTGACCCAGACAGTGGTGCTCAGGGGTTTTGTGCTCAGGAGTGATCCTTGGTGAAACTTGAGGAACCATCTATTGTGCTAGGGATCAAAGTGGGGTTGGTTGCATATAAAGCCAGTGCCTTACCACCTCTACTATTTTTTCAGTCCCTCTCCTTCCATTTCTTTAATTTTGTCTTGTGAAAGTTCCAGGCCCTCTACAACTTTACAGAGAGTAATCATTGGTTTTAGAAGAGATAGAACAATTATGAAAATTCTTTCGGCCTCCCTGATTATTCCCAAACCTTAAGAGACCATTCTACAATGCATATAAATTAGTGTATCAGGTAAAGAGAGATTAGAGTGCTATGTGACCTTACCCAAATTGTAATTGTTATTCTTTTCTCCAAACCACTAATTTATTTACAGCCTATAATTAGTTATAGGAAATAGCACTGAACAGTTTCACTTATTAAAATGAAAACAGATGGTCATCCTTTTCTGTCTTTCATTTAGCCTGAGCATCTGAGATTCTGTTTTAGATAGCTTCCTTTCCCTATTCTAGGCTTCAGTCTTTCCCACACCACAAAAGGCTCTCTAAAAAAAGATACCCAGGGCTGGAGCCATAGCACAGTGGGTAGGGCATTTGCCTTTCACACGATTGACCAGGGTTCGATTCCCAGCATCCCATATGGTCCCCTGAGCACCACCAGGAGTAGTTCCTGAGTGCAGAGCAAGGAGTAAAGTAACCCTTGTGCATCGCCAGGTATGACCCAAAAAGCAAAAAAAAAAAACTTTTTAATTAAATAAATTTAAAAAGATACTCTCACAAGTTGGTGGGGGAGGGGTCTGGGGAATCCACAAAATCCTCTGATGTCCCAATTCTTTTACTCAATTGATTCTCCACTGTCTAGTCAAAATAGCTTAAGGGAAATCCCTGTGCTTATTGTTTCCTGCAGTTACTCACTAAACTTGGGTTGATTTTCTAGGGAGAACCAGGGCCTCAGGGCTTCCCAGGAGCCAAGGGCCTTCCAGGCTTCCCGGTAAGTTTCCATGTTAAGTGAATATGCATTCAAGAATTTGACTGTACACAAGCTATATGATAGACCACTTTCAATGTCTATTATAGAAAATTATACCATTCTTATTATTAGAAGGTCACTGTCACTGTCCTCCTGTTGTTCATCGATTTTCTCGAGCAGGCCCAGTAACGTCTCCATTGTGAGACTTTGTTGTTACTGTGTCTGGCATATCTAATACACCACGGGGAGCTTGCCAGGCTTTGCCGGGCTGGCGAGATACTCTCCGTAGCTTGCCGGGCTCTCTGAGAGGGGCGGAGGAATCAAACGTGGGTCGGCCATTTGGCTGTGTGCAAGGCAAACGCCCCACCCGCTGTGCTATCGCTCCAACCCCATTATTAGTAGGTATTCAAGAAAATGTTTTTGTTTCCCAGACCCATTATCATGGTTTGTCTTAAAAGACTTAAAAGTTATGTCAAACTCTAGAGTGAAAACTGACCTAAGGTTGACTTCTTATTTCACCAATTTCTAGTTATATTACCTTAAATAAATTTTTTAACTTCTCTAAATTTCAGTTTCCTAACCACCAAAAAAAGGATAATAATAGAGATGATAATCTAATAATAATAATAATGAGATTGGAGCGATAGCACAGCAGGTAGGACATTTGCCTTGCACACGGTCGACCCAGGCCAACCTGGGTTCGATTCCTCCACCCTTCTCGGAGATCTGGCAAGCTACCGAGAGTATCGCGCCCGCCTGGCAAGCTACCCCTGATGTATTTGATATGCCAAACACAGTAACAAAAAGTCTCACAATGGAGATATTACTGGTGCCCGCTCAAACAAATCGATAAACAATGGGAGGACATTGCTAACAGTGATAATGAGATTGGAATCAGATCACATATATGGAAAAAAGTCTAACTACAAGCCCAGAATTTTATCAGTTGTTCACTAAATGCTAGATAATCTAAGCAATCCCATCTTTAGTTCTCTCTATGTCCTTACATGTTAGATTCTTTCACTCAACGTAATACTTTTTGAAGCCCATAGGAGACTGGCACCCTGCTAGATTGAGAGGCTACAATAATCAGTAGCATTCAACTAAGTAATAGTTCCTGATCTTGAGGGGAGTACATTTTAATGTGGATAGAACCAAACATGAATCAAGAATAAGTTATTATAGAGTCAAGCAATACATAACTGTGGATGGGCAACAGGGTAAGCTAATATGCCACTTTGTAGTCAACAAAGGCCACAGCCAAAGAGGCTTCATTGACTGACTTTAACCCACCACCACCATACACTCATTTCTTTTTTTCTCTTTTTAAACATTTTAGGATTTTATTGTTGTCCACACTACAGATCAGGCTCTTCAACACACTCTCAGACAATAAGAATTCTGGGACACTTTCTGCTTTGTAAAAGAAAAGGACAAGCCCTCCTTGTTCTTTCAACTATGGGGAAAATAAATGGCGGCTTGAGACCGTTCTTAGACTTACTTTTCTTTACCGTTTACAATTCTTGTTCTCAGGGCCATTTTGGTATTCAGTTTAACAAGTATGTATCAAAATCACCTTGTGTGCATTTCGCAATAGATCCAAATGAACATAATATAGATCTCCTGCTTAAATTTTTTTTCATACATATCTTGATGCACTAAGTGGTGGCACTTTGGGGCACCACCTGTTGCCATTACTTCCTTGAACCAACCAGGGAAAGCTCCTTGAGGTGTTTTGACTTCAGAGGTCAGTAGACACATTCCACCAGGTGGCAGTATGCCTTGGTTTCTAACTTGAGGTATACAACTAAAATTTCAAAGAACTTTTGCATTCAGTTTGACCCACAAGCCCTTCAAATATAAATTTAATTCAGCATGAATTCTGAGCTACTTGTCTTACAATTTGTATACTTTTCTACATACTTTTAGAAGAGAGAAAAAGGCAAGTAGAACCATAGCCTTTTTTCAACTGAACCCTTCACACATACAGTCTCCTCCGCCAATAAAAAGACAACAAAAGAACCCCCATTAGAAAAAAAAGACTTGGATCTCAAAATGGAAGGGCTATTCAGCCAGCTTTCAGTGCCCATGGGAATATGCTGAGTAAGAAGGAAAACAAACTCAAGTGACACTGAAGCAGTCAGTGCCTTCACAGCAACTGAGCCAGGTCACCTTGAAAGGAAAGGGGGAGAAGTGCCACAACATTCAGCAACTTTCACAAGCTAACATTCAAAAAAGTTTCTCTGCATTTTTTACTCTCACAATAGACCTAAATGTTGTTTGCCAAAACCTGTGTTCCCAAAAGCCCAGTTTTAAACAACAAAATGGCCTCATGTTTGCGGCGAGACATGAGCTCAAAATAAGGTTGTCCTCAACACAGAGGGAAGGAAGCGCTTTCTCACACTCTCCCCTTCGCATATCTGTTTATTCCTAGAGATCCCTCAAAACATGTCCATGACTTCAAGCCCTCACCTTCTGTCAGTGAGGCAAAAGGGGTACAGAGTTGTAGACCACCTCAGCTACCTTCGGTGTGTAGTTTTCTAGAAACACTAGAAATGTCTGCTTAGGAACACTTGAAGAGGATGTTTCAGTCATTCTGTCTTCAAAATGCAAATTTCCCCCACCCAGTATTAGCACAATTCTCCACTTGTAGATCAAAGACCAAGGAAGAAATGAATGCTATAATTTGTCTTTTCTTTTCTTTCCTTCAGGGGTTTGGAACTTCTGGAGAAAAGGGAGAAAAGGGAATTTCTGGTTTGCCAGGACCTAGGGTATGAAACTAAAATGTTACTTGCTTGAGTCTGTCAACACCATTTTTTCTCTTGTTTGCCATATTCATGTTATATATGTATCTTCACAGCCACCTCTTGTTGCGCTTTCTTAACCCTCTGGCAGGTTTCTAAGACCTAATCCCTTTTCACTTTGCCCCATTCCCTTAATTAAGTGACTTATTTAAATAAGGAATAAGGTAACCATTTATGCTATGTGACTCCACAGTATTATTTATTATCCTTTTTTCAATATTATTATCTTCTAGAATAATTATATGTGATTATTACGCTTTCATTGCATTCTATTCAGAGGGATTGACGACAAAGGTTTTTGTTTGTTTTTTTGAGGGGTGGTAGAGGGAGTTGGAGGGATTACAGAAAAGAAAGAATGCCAAGCATAATCTTTATGGTACAGAAAAAACCTGGGAAGTTCTAGAACATAGTAAGAGATGTTTGGAGAACACACTTTGCATTAATCTCACTTCTGGTGTTAAAAATAGCTAATAGACTCTCTGATTCCAAGCTTCAAGCACTTAGGTTTCAGGCTGTAAGCAATTGGCCAACCTTAGCTTTCCAGAAGTAACATTTTAGAGAACAGTGTTTTTCCACTTGGTCATGACACTCAAGATTCTTTTGAGTATTCATTAATATTCATCCATTATCCTGTCACTTCTTTCTCTACTTTCCCTACTCCCTTGTCCTAAAATCACATAATAACCAACAAAGAATGCATTTGGAGTGAGAAAGAAGAGACCCTCCCACAATCTATTTAAAAATCTCATGATTTGGAACTAATGCAGACTAAGTATAATACCACCCAGCCATTCTACCAAATTCCTGCTAGTACTTAAAATGTTTCCATTTATTTAGCTCTTTAAAAATTCTTTTCCTGGCTATTCATTCTGATGGATTAGTATTTAGAAAGAAGTCATTAAGCCAGGTCTAGGAACATTCCCTTACCTGATTTGGGGAGCTGCTAAATCCTGAACTCAGTTGGATGGCTTTGTTATGTAAGTCAGTGGCTTTTTCTAGTGTGTTCTATTAATCTTTCTAAGGTGCCTCTATTCTTTTTACAGGGTCCCATGGGTTTTAAAGGAGCCCAAGGTCCTCCTGGGAGTCAGGTATTTGGGTTAAATTATTAAAGCTTTAGTGAATAAAATCCTAGTGAAAAATCTCAGTTGCCTTGCTTAATATGGCCATTAATCCAAAGGGAAACACTACATATGATGAAAATTGCCCACCCTTCCCCTTTGATTGGTGTAATCTCAGCACTTTATTTATTCAAAGAAGATGAGGATCTGGTGTGAAATTCAGCCCTAAGTCATTCCCAGATGCAGTCATACCAAGATGGGGCCATGATTAATATGTCTACAAGGCTAATCAGATTATATGTCATTTATCTTTACCCTTGTGGACCTCTTACCTCCTAATATACGACTTGGTTACCTAGTTTCATATTGCTTTCTGGAATACTTTACAACTTCCAGAGTTAGATATAATCCACACTTGCCCTGGAATGCCAATCAAGTTCCCTGTGCCATTTGCCCTGGCCTGACCTAAAGATTTGCCTCTGTGTTATTTGGCATTGGACTTCTTTGTAACTATGTTTTTATCCCAGGGCATGAAGGGGGTCTCCGGTTTCCGTGGGCTGAATGGATTCCCAGGAATTAAGGTAGTGTTATTGGAAGTGAAAAATCCAGGAACCAGGATGCGGGAAGTAGAAGTTACCGGAAATGCCATATAGTCCATTTGGGCAGCTACAGCTAAATACATCGTGTAGATAATTTATAAAAATAATAGATATAATTATATAATGTTTATATTATAATAATATAAACAATAATAATTTATTTTTGTTCTGGAGGCCAGAGAGCCAAGGTGCCAGTGGGAGTAGATACTGGTTGCCCATTTCCCTCTATATTCTCAAATATTGGAAGGGGGTAGTTAGTAGCTGCAGACATTTTTGTATGAATATTAATTCCTATAATGAGGGCTCTACTTGTATGACCTAATCACCTCCCCAAAGCTTCACAGCCTGTTGTCATCACCCTGGACAATAGGTTTTCAGCATAAATTGGTATTGACGGAATACAAACATTCACACCATTACAAATGAATACATATGAGATGAAGTATGTTTAATATTTTGATATTTTAGATCTAACTCTTTCTTATAAACTCCATGAAAGAGAATTCTATAGATTCAACTTGATCAGTGGTAGACTAAAGACCATGAGAGTTACTCCATTCTATACTCTATTCCTATAAAGAGGAATACTTTATTACTGGCTTTATTTAGAATTGCCAAGTTTTAGGCATTATTTTGTTTGGGTGTTTTTATAGCCACATTCAGCAGTTCTCGGGACTTACTCTTGGCTCTGTACCCAGGGATCACTCCTGGAAGGGCTCCAAGTACCATATACCCATGCCAGAAATCAAACCTAGGTCAGCTACCCTTCCTGCTGTACTATCTCTTGGGTCCCTATGCATTATCATTTTTAAAAAATACTCTCCAGGCAAGGCATTCCCTAATTGCCTGCACCTGGGGCAGGTAGCTCCCACCACTCTACCCTGAATATGACATTGTATCTGATTCAGATACTGAGCCTTTCTATTGAGACAATTAAGATTCCTCTGATTTTCTCTGCCTATCATCCTCCACTAGCAAGGGCAGTAGCAGAGTATTAGACATGCTGAGAGTGGTTGGGGAAATGCTGAAACTCTGCTTCTGCCTTAGCACCTCTTGAGTGTAATCACATTGTATATTCTTACCATGTTTTCCAGGTGCAAAAGCAGACTGTCCTGAAGTATGATTGCAACATAAAACTGTTATCCCTTGTTCTTGACAGGTTTTTTCAATTGAGTGTCAGCTCTCTGGCCTTCTTTGGGTGGCTTTCATCTGAAAATTATTGAAATTTAAAATTAACACATGGACTGGTTGACCTTTGAAACCAGGCATGGCAGAAAGAGGAACCTTCATTACTTTAAAAAAAATGGTTTGCAGGGCACATATATCTTGGGTAATGCGACGAGGGAAATATTTGTGTTTAATGTATTTAATCTTTGCAGGGTGAAAAGGGTGGCATAGGTCTGCCAGGCCCAGATGTTTTCATCGATACAGATGGTGCTGTGATCTCAGGTGCAGCTTTCTCTTAATTTGAGTGGAGTAAAAAGGACACAGAGTTAAATTCTTTGTCTCCCTAATTGTTACTAGCATACACTGCAAGCCCCTGAATTGTTTCTAAACTTGAAACTCTCAAGAGCCCTGTATGTGTCCTAAACTTGGGAGCTGATGTTATCAAAAATATCTTGGGAATATAAACTAAGCCTCACAATCCATTTCTGTGTTGGGTACACAAATACTAGTAATTGGGTTTTCCTGGGCTAGATTTGGTAAATACAGAATTTTTCCTAGCGGTGTTTAGATTGATATCCTTCCATACAAATATGCTGTATGGTAATTTGGTAGAAACTGGGTGTTAATGGTTTCTACTCCCAAGAAATCTATGTATATAAATACGGCTTCAACAAAGTAAGCAAGAGGTTGATATGAGTCATTACAGCAGACTTGTAATGGAAGGACCTTCCTAGTTCTGAATACTTTGTGGAGATTTAGCTTAGGACCATTATCAGGTGAGGCCATTAGCACCTGAAAACCTATGAACTGCAAGGAAGGCAGCTTTTATTTATTTGAGGGCCACACCTACCAGTACTCAGCACTTATTCCTGGATTTGCACTCAGGGATCACTCTTGTAGGACTCACAAAGGGCAGGTGCGGTACTGGGGATCAACAACGTATGGGTACATGAAAGACTAGCAGCCTACCCACTGAACTGTCTCTCTGGCCCCCAAGGGAGGGACTTTTAACTTAAGGACAACTCCTTCAAACTCTTCTTTATTCTTAGGCACTATGTGCATTTGGGGGTCTCCTTTGGTTTTACTGATTTTTTTTGTTTTTTTGGGTCACACCCAGCGATGCTCAGGAGTTACTCCTGGCTCATGCACTCAGGAATTACTCCTGGCAGTGCTTGGGGGAACATATGGGATGCCGGGGATCGAACCCGGGTCAGCCGCATGCAAGGCAAACACCCTACCCACTGTGCTATTGCTCCGGTCCCTAACTTACTGATTTTTAAAAAAATTTTAATGCCAGGTTACCCTGGAGACACAGGTTTGCCAGGCCTTCCAGGTCTTAAAGGAAACCAAGGAATCAAAGGCCAACGTGGACCTTCTGGAGTACCTGGCTTCCCAGCTTTACCAGGTGAAACAAATGAACCTACCCTCTGCATAAAGCAATCCTGCCAGAATCTCCTACTATACCTCTGGACAGGGCATATACCTAGCCAAAATCAAGGTAAAGGTAGATTATGTTCAGGAAGTTCCTCATTATCTGCCCGAGACTGATGTAAATAAGGACAGGACCTGAGTGAGCAACTTTCATTTGACCTTAATAATGTACCATATCTGTACAGGCAATCCCAGACTGTCACTGCTTATGGGAACCACTGGGTTGACTGGGTTGGGCTGCCACAGCACTGTAACTCTTCTGTGGATGTGATATTCCAGTTGGTGCTTGCAAAAAAGTGCTAAAAAAGAAAGTTTGTACCCCCACTACCCTCATTCTGTACTTAACTTGGGTGCTTAAATGATCTCAGGATTGTACGGAGGATATCTTTGAGTCAATCATCAGTGGAGCCATATGCTATTCAATAGTAGTGAGCAGACAATGATGAAAATAGGAAGACTGATATTACTTTTAAAGGCACCGGTTTCTAAGTTACTTAGAGAAGGCCTTCTGTAAGAATAACTGTGCTTTCAAAGCAGCTATCTGAAAGCTATGCAGCTGTCCCCCAGTGCGAAACTGGAGGAAGCTGAAAAGCAGGAGGTTAAAATGCAGGTTTTCCTTTTACTTTTGCCACACAGAAGCTGAGCCCCCCTGACCCATGGTTTCTCACTTATTTGGGCCTCAATTTTCCAAGAGATAAGGCTAGAGGGTTGCTAAGTTGGCTTCTAAGTCCAGTGCTAGATAAGAGTAAATACTTCCCCATAAGTTCTATCTTAGTGTTGGTTTTCAAAATATAACCCTAACTGGATTAACCCATGCAGTATAGAGTGTGATTAGCACCTTTGTGTGGGCTTACCTTTCCAGGTGTCCCTGGTACCAAGGGGGTCTATGGAGTTCCAGGCCTGAAGGGGAATCAAGGAAACCCTGGCCATACCACAATTGGCATAGCTGGTCTCCCTGGTAGAGATGGTTTGCCAGGCCATCGTGGTCCCCCAGGCCCACCTGGTAAGTTGTTACTTTCTCCTCTCATCTTAAGACATAGATATGATCTAGACTGTAGAGCCATCATGACTTGAGGGCGGAAGCTCAAACAGGTGAAACACCTAAGACAGAACACATGATCAGTAAAGAGGAAATATGATGAAGGCCCAATGTTATCTGTGTCCCATCCCTGCTTCTATGGGTTAACAACTCCATCAGTAAGAACAGTTTTCAAGGACAAGTAATCTAAGCACTAACTCATGGACCAAACTCTACCCAATTCCTTTTAACTTTTACATCCATTTCATGTCACATGTCACACTTCTCAGCGCCTAGACCTCTGATGTTACAGTCCCTGCAGCAGCAGAATTAGCTCTTCAGGATTATCCTGGTGCTGGGGTTCCAAGTGGGTGGTCTAAGAGAATAAAATATTGCAAGCCAAGTCCGTATCATCAAATTGGCCGCAAAAAACCTCCACGGGGCTCCACAAGACTTCTTTAGGTCTTATCCCTAAGCTTGGGATTCCATCCGCTTTTCTTTTCTAGACCACACCTAGCTGTGCCCAGGGGTTACTTCCGGCTCAGTGCTTAGAGATCACTCCTGGTGGGCTCAGGAGACCATATGGTGAGGCCAGGGATTGAACCTGGGTTCGCAGTACGCAAAGCCAATCCTACATGTTGTACTATCTCTCCAACCCCTGAGATTCAAATTTCTATGAGAAATGTTTGTAATAGACCCAGAGTGTCTCTGTGTAATCTAAATCTTATGGCCACTGCAGTTGACACCCATTTCCTGTTTTATCATCAAGAGGGTTTATGGGATAGACATTGGAACTGCCCATGGAAGCAATCACAATGATAGGCATTATGGGAGTTACCTTCCACATACCTTTACTTCCAGTGTCAAGTGTAGTGCTGGAAAAGTCAGCAGTCTATCAGTAGTAGTAAAATGGATTGAGCCAACAGAGGGTGCACTTGCTGCAGACTTTAGGTTCCAATATCAGTTTTTTTCTTGGTCTCCACTCTGGTGGTTGACCCAGGCCTTGATGACTGAACTGCTGTATTGAGTCACAAGACTATCGAGTTCAACATTAAAAGATGCACATTTTTATGTTTCTTTTTCTTCAAGGTCCAGTATTCTATACCACTACCCTACAGGACATAGGGCATGCTGGTCACAAAGGAAAGCAAGGTCTAAAAGGAAACTCCGGCCTCAAAGGAGTGAAAGGTGACTGGTTGGGGTGTGGGGGTGAGGGGCAAATTTTTTTTGATCCTTTTAGTCATCTAGTAGAAAAAATTGGAGGCTATGGTGCTAGTAACTCCTTGCTAGCTCTTCAAAGGGGCTTTGCTGAAATCCCTGTCATCAATGTATTTGACAGTTGTCTCTATACAAACAGGGCAAGGGGTATGGATCACATCCAGGTGAGCTCCCAAAATAAATTAAAAATTCAATCCTGGTTGTGTGTGAGTCAACTCTAGACTTATGGTTGGCTTAGATCCACTCTAAACTAATGAAATCACTAACTCAGATGTACTTTGGTTTGGTTTTGGTTTTGGCTTTGAGTCCACACTTGGCTTTGCTTAATGCCAGGGATCAAACTCAGGGCTTGAACCCAGGGTTCTTGCATGCAAAGCATGAGCTTCAGCCTATTAAGTCGTCTCCCCAGCTTACATCTCAGGTGTATTTTGATGGAAAGTGGACCTAGTTAACTTGATTCTGTACTCTGCAGGTCTTGTAATTCTCTCCTTAGAGTTGCTCAGTAGCTAATTACCAGGTATTTCATCTTGGGAAGATGTTCTACTTTTTAAAATGTCTTTCTCCTCCAGGGGAACCCGGTTTTTGTGTTTGTGATGGTGATATTCTCAACACTGGCCCACCTGGGGAGCCAGGCCTGTCTGGGCTACCAGGTATCAAAGGCCTTCCAGGTCCGAAAGGAGCCAAAGGAGATCTAGGCTCCGAAGGCCCACGGGGTCCATCAGGAGCTCCGGTAAGTCTTACCAACCTTGGTCCCTGATAGAAAAATAGGAACATTCAATTGCTCCCCACTCCTCACCAATCACTTTGTAAAACATATAAAAATGAGTAAAAACGTTTTTGATTTGTTGTGTGAAGAAATCAGCCTAGATGGTCTCGAAAGGCCCTTCCTGTTTTAATCTATTTTGTTACCACCCCAATACCTTCCATAATCTCTCCCTTCCACAAAATTGTTTATATACACTTAGTACTCTCTTGGATGTTGAGGTTAAAATTGGAATTATCACAAGGTTACCATCCTCAATGATTTTAAAATATAGAAAAGATACAGAAAATAAATTAGCAGTTACAATCTAATATGGCAATGTAATCAAAAGTCCCCCAAAGTGACAAAATATACCCAAGGACCTGCTTTAGATAAGACCTATGTTAGATGCCAAAATACTGTGAATCTCCTAATCACTCACTTAATCTCTTTATCAGGGTTTGCTTGGACCTCAAGGTCCTAAAGGACTCAAAGGAAGTAAGGGGGAGCCAACTATCTGGGATGCACGATCTGGGATGCCAGGAGAGAAGGGTGAGCCTGGTCTCAAGGGACTTCGTGGTGAGAAAGGAGTCTCAGGCAAGGATGGAATGCCAGGTTTACCAGGCATGCAAGGACTTCCAGTAAGTTGATCATTTCTTTGTGATTAGCTCTGTAAATGCTCATTACTGACTAATGGGGTGGGGGCTTCTGATAGACTCTGAACTTTAATACAGGGCAAAATACAGAATACAGAACATCTCTTTCTCTTCTTTTTCAGAACATCTCTTTCTGCCTCCACCAATGATACTTTTCTCTGTACTTTTTTTTCTGTCAAATGGAAATAATTTTCTCAAAATGAGTTATTGACTCAATTGGCCATATCATTGAAAGTTGCTTTAGCTTCTCAGTAGCTTTCCCCTTCAAGTAATTTTGCTGTCTTTTGTGTCCTAGGGGGTCATTATCCTGCTCCCATTTCAAGTCCCTTTTCTAACATTGATCTTTAATCTTTTGTGTTGTCTTATTACCTAAGGCCTACAAGCCCTAGTTCTACAAAAGACAGGGCAGGTAAACTTGAGTGACAAAGATTTTTTTTGAGACACTGCACTTAATAAAATTATTCATGATTGAATTTCAGGCATAAAATGTTCCAACACTAATCCCATTACCAGTGTCCACTTCCCTCCACCAGGGTCCCCAGTTCCCCTCCCACCCACCCCACCCACCCCACCCACCATGCCTCTTTTATGTAAAAGAAAAAAAGTGATGGAAAATTTTGACAAAATCAATGCATTGTTCACACTGATGGGTCATTTCCTATGGTAAGAGACTCCAAATAAGTATCTTAAGCTAAGCTTTTTATTTTCTCTTATGTTATTTAGGGTGATGATGGACTGGGCTTCCCAGGTGAAAAGGGATTTGCAGGGTTTCCTGGTGAAAAGGGCCGTAGCGGACCAGTTGGTCCCTCAGGAATTGGGCTACCTGGATCTCCTGGCCCTAAAGGGCTTCCTGGAGATAAAGGAGAAGATGGATTACCCGGACAAAAAGGCCTCCCTGGGCTTCCAGGTAAGTCAAGCAATCACATGGTTTGGGACATGGAAAATTGACTGCTTACAGAATACCAATAATACAGGCATACAAAATGCCTCATAAGATGACACTCGACTGACTATACTCTCTACTGTCAATCCTTATATGTGTTTTCATATGGAAAAATGATTATAGTTCTCATATGCTTACACAGAACAATATACATTTCAGCTCTACCTAATGAACAAATTCCTCATAGAACATTGTGAAAATGCATTGCTATCATATTATCCTCCAAGTCAAAAGACACAAACTGTCTCTGCTAGATAGTGGATAATGCCCAGACCCGTCAACCTGAAATTCAAGTCTCCAAACCCGATCACAGTAAACCTTTCTAATTTTTATATCAGGGTTTAGTATTTTGAATAAAACACTAAAATAAAAACTTAGGATAGAGCTAGGGTGTCTAGATCTAAGGGCTAGAGTGCATGTCTGACATACTGAGGCCCCTATTTCAATTCCTGGTACTTTATGGTTCCTCCAAAGACTTCCAAAAACAGAGATAGAAGTTGCCCTTTAGCACTTTTAGATGTGTCCCCCAAATTTTCCATTTAAATATTAAAAAATAAACAACCAGAAAACTAAGACAAATATGACAGTCCTCAAACAAAACATGCTCAATTGAAGTCCAAGATTTTCTCTATATTTCCTCTTTCATCTGTATAACCACATCACATCCATCTTCCAGGGGGTTGTCTTTCTTCCACTAAGGCTTCCCTAGATCTCTGCAAGATACCATTACTTAAATTATTTTTATCTTCTATTAAAACTTTTGTTTTTATCAACTGCATTATAATACTCTGGATACTAGGAAAGCTAAGCAATTCTATTTAGCACATCCAAAACTGCCAATCATAATATAATGTTCCATTGGAGACTAATATATGTTCATAGACTGAAATGCCTTCCTAGTACTCAAGGGGCTATTTTGTCCCCTATCCACATTGACACCTTGGGGATTTACAAATAGAAAGACATGATGCCAGATTTCGCATATTTTTTATTTAAAATCTGTTTTTATGAATTGTAATAAGGATGATGGAACAAATTAAAAGCAGTGATACAAGAATCTCAAATTCAGTTTTGCAATTCACAAATTCCTCCGAAGGTATGTGGAATTTTCTCAGATGAAATCCTTCTGCTTTCTGGAAGTCCATAGGTCAGCATTAGCTTTGCTACCAGCTGTTCCCTGAGACCTTATTCAAGCCTTCCACTGTCCCTCTACCAATGTGGTTGACTATTCTAGGTCTACTCATTTTCAAGGCAGCTTGGTTTAAATTGAGTTATAATGAAAAGGTATATAAACACCTATGTAGTCCAAGATATTATGGATGTTATCAACATCCAGACATTTTGAAAACAGGCTATCAATAAAATGGAGCCCAGGGGGCCATTTCTACTCCAAACTAGTCCCTGCAAATGTAGGGTTCTTGTAAATATAATGATTTTTTTAAAAAATAAGCTATAGTCTGGGGGTAGCTTTGTGCAAAAAAATGCTCTCGTTAAAGTACCAAGATTCTCTGAAAATTAATTTCAAATAATAGCATAGGTTTATTTTCCTCTCTATGAAGACCAAATATGACTCCTCCAACATAACTTTCTTTCCATACAATTTTTAAAACACATGAGCTCTGAATCCCAGATATTTGCACTAAAGCTATTACTGCTACCATGAAAAATTAAAATACTGGCCCAAATGTATTCCAAGCTGTGAATACCCAGGCTAGGACATCTGCATTGCCAGAAAAAGGAATGTAGTCATCAGAAGCCTTTCAACCTAGTGGTGTGAATTATTACTAACCCTGGGAAAGCAGAACACTGACTTTTTCCAAAGATGCTCTGATCCAGATGTACATTGTCATTAATCACCTTGTTTACTACTGAAGTAGCCATTGTTTCCTTGATCGTATGTGGGTGCCAGGTCTCTATTCAATAAAGACAAGGAATTTGATTGGTTAGCATATCTGGACTGTAGCAAAGACTTCCTTTGGTCCTCAAGGAACTTTTATCCTCGATTAAATTAAATTTTTTTTGGCTTTTGGGTAACACCCAGCTGTGCGCAGGGCTTACTCCTGGCTCTGTTTTCTAGGGTCATTCCTGGTAGAAATCAGTGTGAGTAGGGGGTGGGGGAGAAGAAATATCTAGTGCTAGGGATCAAACCAAGGTCAGCTGTCAGCATGGTGCTTTACTATACCTCCACACTGTTACATCACTCCAGTCCCTCAATTTTTTCTTTACCTGATTAATCTAGATCATCCCTGCTTAAGGAAAATAATCCAGATATTGGGAAGGGGACACTTTGGCTAAGTCCAGAACAGTGGTCCCCCAAATTTATTTGGCTTGCTACCCCTTCTTCAAAAAAATACTCAGCGCCCCCTGTATATTAAGTGAACAAACAGAACATTCTCCATCCCATTACACTCAAGGCTACTATCACTCCACTAGATAATTCATGCAAACCATGCAGCAGGACCCAAGTTCTAACCCCAACATCACACTACCTCCACAGCACCACGAAATTTTGTCCTGAAGCCCTCTAACCTCCACCAGGAGGACCATGGTTGTCCTCAGTATCATAGGCTCTGAGCAGTTTCACATCTTCAGGCCCTGTCACTAAACACCTGCTCTAGTTGCTTTAGAGTCAAGAGTGGCTTTTGGGTTCCAAGAGCACTGTTTGAAAGACACAAAATAGTGGTAAGGTGCAATGGTAGTGGAATTGATGTTGGAATATTGAATGTAATAAATCATGAACACTAAATTAAAAATAAAAGAAATGTCCAAAATAAATATGTCTTCTCAAGTAAAATAGTAAGGCTTTATTCACTGAATATGTAACAGAGTCCCAGGCACTGTGCCAAATGCTATTAGTATTATTCCATTCCTTCCACCCATTTGACAAAGAGACTCAAAGAGGTTAAGAATCTTGCATTCACAGGACCAGATATAGCACAGCAGGTCAGCCACTTGCTTTGCATGTGGCCAACCAGGGTTCAATCCCAGGACCTCCATGGTCCCCAAAGCCCTGCCCAGAGTAATCCATAAGTACAGAGTCAGGAGTAAACCTTGAGCATACCCCCCAAAACAAAGACTCTTTTAAAAAACTTTAATTCAATCAACATAAATTACAAAGTTATAAAGATATTTGTGATATGGACTTCACAAGTTTCTAGTAGCAAAACTACAATACAAGCTCAAATCTGACAGCTTCAAAGCCCAACATTTAACCAATACATTATACTGTTCAATTCCTACTTTTGACTTAGGAATAGAATAAGTTGGTAAAACTGCTATTAAGCTTTCATAGTGAAACACAAAAGTGAGTTTGGAGGCAGAATGCCAGTCAGTTGAATAAGCTGTCTGAATTATAGATTGCTACCTATGCAATTGGTGATTTATTTTAAGTACAGACAAAAGCTATAGCAATTTATTAGACCTGTTGACTCTGTGACTTAAATCAGACTTTAGGGAGATTGTCTAATGAATAGGCAAGACTAATTTTAATTGCCATAGCAATTGTTTGAAAACGGCACTTGAGGGGGCCAACATACAATTTGTTCACCAGTATTTTATTAAACCTCCCCTCTGTGCTCTTATAGACTCTTTTTATTTGCATTATGAATGAGCAAGGAAAAATTTGCTTGGATAAGGGCTATGCATGCCAATTGCATATTGAAATCAACTACCCCTTCTGAATTGAATTTTGAGTTGATAGTTTCAAATCAGGTCTTGAAGGAAAAATCGCAAATTGTCTGTTATGGTCAAGGGAGTGGCTTTTACTGTTTTACTTTGAACAGATCGAAGGTTAGATCTGATCAAGGACAATCAGTAGGCTGAGTTAACCCAAGTAAAATCTAGATAAAGAATGGTAACCTTTGGGGAAATCCTCATTCAAAGAAAGACTCACAAGATAGTTAATGTTACCCTTGACAGGTATCACCTTGCCATGTGTAATTCCTGGGTCATATGGTCCATCAGGATTTCCAGGAGCTTCTGGATTTCCAGGTATGTAACAAGGCCAATGAACACCACTGCAGGGTCAGGAGCCAAAGGAGGCATAGTATACTATGGTAGCATCTGAAGATCCTCATTCCTCTAAATCAGGCATGCTTGGGGTTTAGGAAATAAAATGTCTGCTATAGATAGTTGTGTGCCATGGGAATGGGGTTGAAAATAAGAGAGGTCCCTGCAAGAGACTGGGATTCTTGACTGAACATCACAAATCATACCTAATTCACTTTCTTTCCCCTCACTACTCACATTTGGCTTTTCAGGCCCTAAAGGAGCCCGTGGTCTCTCTGGGATTCCAGGCCAGCCTGGACCACGTGGAATTAAAGGAGACCTGGGGATTCCAGGCTCAGTTCCTATCCCTGAATTGCCAGGTAAGGAAAGGAGGGGTTTATCACTTGGTATTTCTTTGTCATGATTTTGTGTTGGAATATGGGTAACCATGTACTGGCCCGTTCCTCATGCAACTTCTCAAAGGTCAAAAAAGGTGTTTCAGTCATAGGAAAGTTGTCTATTTTCCCCTTAACCTGTTCCAACCTGAGCTCATTGCTCTACACTGCACCCCTGGATATCAGACTGTGCTCCCAAGGTTAGCAACAGCACCACCAGCCAGAACTTGTTGCAAACCTACTAACCTGAAGCTCTGGAGGTGGATTCACAAATCTGGGCTTGACTGAGCAGCCCCTGCCCAAAAGATTGACCCAGAGTCACTTTGAGAACTCCCAATTCTACAGCAAGGTGAACTAATGGCTTATTTAAGGCCAGGAACTCTGGGATTATTCTTGCCTCTTTCCCCTCTACTACCCTTGGAAAAGGGATGCATGACAGCTGGTGTTACATGACTCCAGGAGAAACAAGAGGGTCTGCGTGTAACCTGTATTCTTTGGCCACAAGAGGGGTCTGCTGAGTGTCAACCAAAGTCAAGTCTCACTGAGCTAGAACCTCCCCCAGGTAACATGACCCTGGCTCTGTCTCTGAATGCATCATCTCAGGACCAAGGACACTTGAATTTCATGAGATGTATCACATATAGAGATGTTAGTTTTCATTGTTGAAAAATATCTGTCTCAGAGGCCTCTAATGAAAAACCAGATGTTTCTAATTTGCCATGGCCTTCTTTTGTTTCTTGTGTGTAGGATTTCCTGGGCCTCGTGGTGAGAAAGGCTTGCCTGGATTACCTGGGATTCCTGGAAAAGATGGCTTCCCTGGGAGAATTGGAAGTCCAGGTTTAACTGGTTTTAAGGGAACCCCTGGCCAGGTCCTTAATGCTGAGAAAGGTGTTAGAGGAGAGAAAGGCCTGAAGGGATTTCCAGGAGAGAAAGGATTTCCTGGAGAAGCTGGCTATCCAGGACCCAAAGGTAACTTCTCTCTCTCTCTCTCTCTCTCTCTCTCTCTCTCTCTCTCTCTCTCTCTCTCTCTCTCTCATTCTTTCTTTATTTCCTTTCTTTTTTATTTCTCTCTCTTCTCCCTTTCTTCCTCCCTCCCTCCCTTCCTTCCTTCCTTCCTTCCTTCCTTCCTTCCTTCCTTCCTTCCTTCCTTCTTTCCTTCCTGTTGTTGTTCTGGACTACATTCAGCAGTGTTTTGGGGGATCCTACATGGTGCAGGGATTCGAACCAGGGTTGGCTGCATGCAAGACATTAACCACTATGCCATCTCTCAAGCATCATGGAGGGTAACTTTTACCCCATTTAACAATCTACAGAATGCCTTTAAGTAACCTAGACACGTGCCTAAATATAGGCTAATCGTTGATTAAAGAATTTTTTTCATTCTGACCCTCCCTTTGGCGAACATTTTTTTAGTCTACTCAGGCTGTTCTCTTGTCTCAGTGATTCCCAAAGTAACATAACCAGGAGTCAGATTCCTTGCAATGCCTCTAATTTACTATTGGTAATAGCAGCAAGGCAGGAGCCTAGAAGAGAATGGTATCTGAGATAGATCATGGGCCAGATTCTTCCGTTAGAAGCTGATTTGGTGATCTAGTGCCTGCTCTTGATCTAGGCCATGATCCCTTGTTCTTTATTTCATTAGGTTTTCCTGGGAATTCTGGCATGATTGGTCCCAAAGGAGAGAAGGGTAACCCTGGAATACCAGGCTTCAAGGGACAGCCAGGCTTCCCTGGGCATGATGGCGCATCTGGAATCAAGGGCAGCCCTGGATTCCCGGGGGTACCAGGAACACCAGGTATTTCTGGTAAGTTCTTAGGAGGAGGAGCCCCATCTTCACAAACTTAAGCTAGCCCCTACCCTGGCCCTGAGGGTCAGTAGCAGCACTACCATGTAGTCAGAAGTTAGAGATTAAACTTTGCAATCCTCTCAAGTTTCAAAACTCAATTCTCTGTTGCAGAGCCAAAACAGAGTAGATTTTGCTTCCAAGATACCAAAACAAATCCCTCCCCAGTGCCCCCCGCCTTCTTGTGTTTCAGCATCTCCTGTCTATCTAGAGGAATGTCCCTGGTTGTGAAGGTGGGCTACCTGCTGCCACCTCTGCTATACCCTTGGGAGCCTACTTTAGGTGAGGAAGCTCCTGCAGAGGGTAGCCTAGCTCAGCTCTGTCATGGGTCTGACATCCCCCGGTTCCAGACTACTGTGTGTGCAGCTGGCCTTTTGCTTGTGCCACCTTCCTCCCCCTGCCCAGGTGACACATCATCTTGTTTTACTTTGGGTCATGGGACCTGAATAGAATTCTATGCAGAGCCACTCAGAAAACTCATTTGGGGGGACGCGGGGGCCACACCCAGCAGTGCTTAGGGCTTACTCTTGGCTCTGCATTCAGAGATCACTCCTGGCAGGACTTGGGGGACTCTGTGAAGTGCTGAGGATTAAACCTGGTCCAGCCATGTGCAAAGCAAGCACCCTACCCTCTACACTCTCTTCAGCCCTACTCAGAGCACTTTTATTCTCCTGTGTTCTTCTATGTTTCTGGGGCTATAGGCTGTTCAGGTGAGAAAACAGCATAGAAGCCCAGACTAACATCCCCACCAGTTGTAGCCGGGAATTATCTGATTGCACTATAACCTGGCTAGGCCAGAGGTCCCTGAACTCATGCTGTGGAGTTGGTGCCCATTGAATTTCCTTCTCTTGTTAGGGAATCCCCTTCACAGTCTCCCATTAGAAGCCTGGGGCTTGCAGCTACTTGATGCTTTTCAAGCCATAGAAAACCTCTGCAGCCATTCATTTAGGTCTTTGGGGGCCCAAATGCCTCTGTGGTCACTGATTTAATCCTTTGGTTTTTTAATTTCCTTGCTTTGTACCTGAACATTCCACTTGGGTAGCAGCTCTGGAGGTTAATCCCATTGACCAATTTAAGGCATGGTGAAAGAAGTCTCAGAATACCTAGGGGACCAAATGGACCTTGGGGATTTCTACAGTGCTTGGCACTGGGGGGTCTTTCAACCTTAACACCAAGGAACTGGCTGATTTAACTGCTTGCATGAGGGATTAAAAGGGCAGGCCTGTATCCATGGCTCCCTAGGAGGCTGAAACAATAGCTCAGCTTTAACCTCTACATCACCGATTGGCTCAGGAAACAACCATTGTGTGGTGAGTCAGGCTAGAAGTTCCAGGAAACTAGAGCCCAATTGCCACCCTAGTTTCCCAGAGCTCTATTCAGTGGTTAAAGTTCAAACCACATTCATAATGGGAGAAGTTATAATCACAAGGGCTATGCTAGCCTTGCCAGCTACTGTGCCATGCTGGAAGTAATAGCCATTAGCATGCATAGCGCTCTGGGTGGTAGGTGCTAGTGCTTCTGCCAACAAGCACTCTGCCCGTTAGCAGCCTGCAAAGACCATTTGTTGTGGGGCCACTTACAAAACCTTACAAGCTAACCAATCAGAAGTCCTGGGAATGGGCGGTGGACCAGATCTGGACAGAGCCTCACTTGACAAATGTACTGTGTTCTCTCTTTTGCCGATTTAGGACATCCTGGAATGAAAGGTTCAAAAGGCGAAAAAGGTACCCCTGGAACAAGTGTCAAGATAGGCCTACCTGGGATGAAAGGCCTTCCTGGAATTCCAGGGCTAACTGGCTACCCAGGAAACCCAGGCCTTCCAGGACACACTGGCTTCTCAGGCCTGCCTGGCTTAAAGGGTAAGTGCCAGTGAGTGCCAAGGAGTACCCCTGCTATCCAGCTTCCTCTTTCCCCTCCTCCTGGGAATAGGAAATGGGGAAGCCCGCAGGCAGGGGATGTTATGACATGGCAGTTGGACAAGGCCCAGGGTATCAGGGTCCACACTTCCAGCTGCCTGCCCACCCCGAAAATGAGGACCCCCACCTTCACTGCCTCCTAGCTTTGTGAATTGGGGCAAATTCCTTAGACTCTCTGAGCTTCCACTCCCTTCTATGTAAAATGGGGCTAATACAATAATAGAAGTCCTGGTTTTTCAACAGGTGAAAAGGGATCCAAGGGACTGATGGGCTTTCCAGGAATGCCAGGTCCCCATGGTGTTCCTGGTGCAAGTGGACTGAAGGGAATTCCTGGATTAGTCGGAGCAATGGGACCATCTGGACTCACTGGGAGCCCTGGTTTAAAAGGTAAACTGGGGGTATAAGTCTGAAATTGCAACAATACTTCCCAACACACCTCTTTTTTGTCTATCTTGCTATTCCTGCAGCTTCTATCAATCCTGTGTTAAATAATGAGACCTGGGATATTTACAAGAGAACCTTTTGTAAATCTCAAAGACCCAACCACTTCTGAGTTCACACTGCACCTCAGAGGTCTTGGCATCTATTTCCAAGGCTCACTGGAGGAGAGTTTTGATTAGGGACTAATGTTGCTAGTGGAATTTTGGCTTATTCAAAAAGAGCACCCCTTAAAAGCAAAGCTCATAGACAGGGAAAACGTTGGAAGGACCCATAAAGGGGATTTGGAGATGGCGTGGGATATACTGATAGGAAATGTCATTCATGCCAAACCCCATATCTCAGCTCTCCTCTTACATACAGTTCTTGTTCTCTATCCCTGAAGGAGACCAAGGTGAGAAGGGGCCAGCCGGAACACCGAGTCAAAGACCACCAGTGCTGAACTACCAGATCAAAGGAGACAAAGGCACTCAGGGCCCAGATGGACCCAAAGGTTTTCCTGGACCCAGAGGTACCGGGGCAGGGAATGGGCAGGAGACATAGCCCAGAAAGATTTTGTAAACGCACTTGGCTCCTTCCTGATAAAAATCCTCACCCTAATGGCTCATCAGAGCAGCAAATGTGGGTGAAAGCAGGGGTTCAGTGACTCACCCTGCACTTTGAGATTGGCCAGCCTTTATTGTTGCTGCTGAACCCAATGTCTCAACTGCAGGTTGTTGTATTTCAGAAGGAGCCTGATCAAGGGTAGGGCTTAGATGCTAAGCAGCAATCCCAATGCTATAGCTGCAACAACCCTGTCTGGCATCCCGTCACTCTGGAGGCATCTCCTCCAAACTATCTTTCTCCACCCTGGAGCTAACTAATCCCAAGTCTGCACATTGCCTGCCTGTGACTAAGACTTTGGGAGAAATAGGTTTCTCTTACTCTGGATCTTTTTCAAGCCATTTTGGATCTTTTCCAGGTGACAAAGGAGAGATTGGCCTCCCTGGACTACCCGGCTTGCCTGGAGTTCCTGGATATCTTAACACTATCAAGGGAGTTTCTGGGGTGGCAGGATCCCTTGGTTTCACAGGCCTGCGAGGCTTACCTGGCTTGAAAGGGTCCCCTGGAATCCCAGGATTCCTAGGAATACCAGGAGAAAGTGTAAGTGTGCCCAGATCTTTGCCTGTCTACGAGGAAGAGGCCTCTAGTAGAAAGTGACATAACCCCCATTACCCACCTTTCAGATTCTAACACCTTCCCTAGCACATTCCCAAAGCCTCACCTCAGCTCAGCTAAGTCTTCTCACTGGATCCTGAACATTCCCATTTCAGGGCCTTTGTTTTTCTTGCTCCCCAGCATGGAGGCAGAGCCTTGTCCCTTTGCCCATCCTCAGGCCCAAATTAGGCACCTGTTCCTCCAAGAACACTTCAATTCCCATCCTATGGATTGATGTTCTCTATTTCTCACTGCTTATGTTGAACCTAGATAGTTGGTCTGTTTGGGCCTGATTTCCTCAATGAGATTGTTCAGTCTTGAGAATAAGAACAACTTTACATGCTTATTTCCCTGTACCCCCACTGCAAGCATTCCCTATTCAAGTTAGTCCATCATTAACACTTATGATTGACTTTCTGGTTAGATTAAGAACTGTCTTTGTGACCTCTCCTAGAGTTACCAAGCCCAGTTTCTATGGGTTCTTGGAAAACAAGGTGGGAGAGGCTGGGGAAATCATGCAGACCATAAGACACTTGCTTTCCATGTGTCCAATGCTGGTTCAGTGCCCAACACCACATATAGCCCTCCCAGCCACACCAGGAGTGATCTCTGAACACAGAGCCAGGGGGTAAGCCCAGAGTACTACCAGATATGGCCGCCCAAACAAACAACAAACACACAAAACAGAGTGGTCAAATAGGTTTAACAATAATATAGACTGGGAGTTTGTATTTCATCCCAATCTTCTATGAAATATGGCATTTTGTGCATGGTACTTAACTTACCCGAGCCTCTTTTTTATTATCTGTAAGAAAGGGAATGATATTTAAACCTCCTTTGCACAGTATTGAGGGCTATATAGGATGATTATGTGTAAAGCTTTTAGTGTTGTGCATGGTGCATCACAAACTGAATCAATAGCAGCAATAATAGTGGCAGTATTGACAAGGCTAAATGACCTGAGTCACAGGATAACTGTGCTCCTGGCAGGCAAAGCCTCTATCCTTGAAAAAGTGTCTACCCACATAGTGGAGATCACACACACATCCCTAAGGCAGTTGTAGAAGAAATCATTTTGACCAGATAACCCCAAGTATTCACATTCTAGGATAGAAACAAAGTTAGAAGGCATGAAGGCATTCTGGGAGGGGTCCCAGGATGATCATAAATTCAGAATTAGTAGATATAGCAACATGAAAGGAAAAGACAAGTAGGAGGATGAGTGTCTGGGGAGTGGTCCAGTGGCCTACCCGAAAACTCAATACTCTCACTCTGAGCACTGCGGGCCTGTGTCTTTATGGAGTATATCCCCAAATGAATTAAAATAGTACCATATAGTTAGGAAAGACATATGCTGGTGGTTTGTAACTGACATTCCCACTTCCAAGGCTCAGAGATTGTGCTGGGCATTAGCCATTGAAGGCAGAAGGCACAAGAATTTGTGAATGACAAGACCAGGGTTTATCTGCAGAGCGAATCTGTGTTCCTGCCACAATCCCTAAGTAATGTGTTTATAGTGCTTACCACCATCCACCTGCAGGATTAACCCTCCACTCCCACACAGTCTTCCCCTGCTGCAGAGTAGATGTCTCAAGCATTAAGTCATGAGGAATAGAAGGAAAATGGGATGGGAGACCTAAACTCTAAATAAGCATGATGATTTCCATACTGTTTTAAAGGGTTCACAGGGTCTTAGTGGAGTTCCTGGATCCCCAGGTGCATCTGGTCTCCCAGGCCTAAAAGGTAAGGCATGTTTTCTCTCAATGTGTTTTTCTAGAAGTAAGGTATCTTTCCAGCAATTTCAAGGCTCTACTAGAGGGAGACTGTTTTAGGGGAAACACTTCAACTTATTTGTACTTTTCTTTTCACAAAATGCACATTGTAGTCTTAAGCCCTTGGAGTTCTGAGACAAATAACGGTGCCTACCACGCTCTCTCTCCCTCCCTGTTACTTAGAGCCAAGGAAAAGGCTGTTCTTCATCTTTGTGGGTTGACTTATCTGTCTTTAGACTAAGCAATAGAGGACAACTTGGGCTCTAGCCCACTGGACAGGAAAATTTCCCATCTGTCTACAATTATTCCGTTCTCCTGATATCTTGATGGCCCCTCATACCATCTTTTCTGTCAGTACTGATCCAAACGATGGATTTCATAATGGAAAATATGCTACATATCACAGCATTTGATGCTAGTAGTCTGGCAAGATCCTAGGGTTTTGTTGATGATTAGTCACATTTTACCCAGTGGGTAATTTTTACAAGGAGTTTCCCTGCTTTGACTGTGTTTTATCTGGAAAGATTTTGTATTCAAAAGATGTCTGCTGCAAAATAAGCTATATCTTCTCCTGATCACTTAATGTTTTGATACCCCCAGGAGAGAAAGGTGAGACACTTGAAATTTCTGGCATCCCAGGACTCAAGGGACAACCTGGAGAGGTTGGTCTTAAAGGTAAGGCAACTGTACTTTTGTCCGTTGAGTCTCACGGCCTCCTCAAAACTGAGCATTAGAGAATATTTTTTGCTTTTTTGGGGGGTCACACCCGGCGATGCTCAGGGGTTACTCCTGGCTTTGAACTCAGGAATCACTCCTGACAGTGCTCGGGGGACCATATGGGATGCTGGGAATCAAACCCGGGTCGGCCGCGTGCAAGACAAACACCCTACCCGCTGTGCTATTGCTCCAGCCCCGCATTGGGGAATTTTGTAAGTCACTTGCAAACCCAACAATTTATATGTCATGTAGAAAAAAATCCTACAAGATACGTGTCTGCTTATGGACAGCCCACAATTTCTTCCAGCAAACCAGTCTAATTTTGTTTCAAGATTTATACACTGCAGGACCAGAAAGAACACTCAAAAGAATGAAGTGCAGACACTGTACATAGAGGCCCCAGGTTTGATAACCGGCAAAACATGGTCCGCAAAACATCATGGGAGACTCCTGATCACCGACAATGTGCCCCTGTTAAGCCCTTAACATTGCTGGGCCCAAGCACTGAACTGCCTGACCTGCATAGCCAGGTCAAGTATTAGCAGTAATGACTCCAGGACTACCTGATAACTACTTGGGAACACCCCTCAAAAATAAAACCTTTATATACTGGCAAAGACCTTTTTTATAATGGTATCTACCCACTGAGTTTATAGTAATATCATTTGGCTCTAAAATACTTCCACCCACTGTTCCTACTGCCTGCTTCAGAATTCTTACTCTGGAAATCCCCAGACACGTTTATTTTCTTTGTAATTGGTGGCCTCTTCCAAATATGAAGACAGAACCACAAGCTTTTCCAGATTTTCTTCATTGTATTTAGTTTCCTTGGCAGTCAAAATTGGCTTTACTTTCTATGCCAGACCACATTGCCTGAAATGTGGCCTCACTCCAGATTATCCTTGATTTTATAGGTATAAAAGGACAAGATGGACTAGTTGGCAAAAAAGGTTTCCCAGGAAACAAAGGTGAAGATGGAAGAGTTGGCATTCATGGAGATATTGGCCTTCCTGGCTCCCCAGGTACTAGACCACATGCCAACTCTATTCTGAAAAAGTCAAGACTAGCTTTAAATCAGGAGTCATTTTGAATTTCTGTCCTGGTTTCACTTATAGGAATTCCTGGTATTGCTGGCATGACTGGACATCCAGGACGTCTGGGTTCTCCTGGCCACCCAGGGTCAACTGGGCAGTTGGGACTCCCTGGCTTAAAAGGAACCAAAGGTATGTGTATTCCAGAAATGGTTGTAAGAAATAGGGTCCATCCTTCAAAAAAGAACAAAAAAGAACTCTATATTAGGAGATACCATGTGGGACGTGTGGAGAGTAGTCTCAGCATGGCTGTGGCTGGTTCTGGAGGTCTTCAGCTGCTGGGGCTCTGCTTGGTGGGGAGGGAAACTCAACCCGCCCCCCTCCATGGGGCCCTGGTGAGGACAGCCAGGCGCGGGGGCAGGAGACTCTGCACTGTTCTCTTCCAGATCTGGGTTTTATAGTTTCTGGGTCTTGGCCATTGATGGGACCAAACTGGCGCTGACGGCAGCTGGTGGGTGTGACGCCTACCTACTGGAAGATGGGGGATCTGGGTGGAGAAGGCCCAGTCTCGATCCGAGCAGACTTGGAGATCTCAGCCCCGGGACCCGCATGCCTGGGTTCCTCTGCCGGTTCCTTCATGCATGAGGCTTGTCCGGACGTGTGGAGAGTAGTCTCAGCATGGCTGTGGCTGGTTCTGGAGGTCTTTGGCTGTTGGGGCTCTGTTGGGGGTGTAGGGAAACTCAACCCGCCCCCCCTCCGAGGGGCCCTGGTGAGGACAACTTACTATCTTGTTCTTACTTTGGAGAACCTGGCAGGCTACCGAAAGTATCCTGCCCGCACGGCAAAGTCTGGCAAACTTCCCGTGTTGTACTCAGTATGCCAAATACCAGTAACAATGATGGGTCTCATTCTTCTAACCCTGAAAGAGCATTGAATATGGCTCTTTTAAAATCTCAGGGCTAGGAAGAAGGAGACGTTACTGGTGCCTGCTTGAGGCAATTGACAAACCATTTGGGATTAAACTATATCCAGACGAATCAATGGCTGGAATGCATGAGAGATAATGGAAAAGAATAATGAGAGGAAGAAAACAGAACTAGCTTAAATGTTAAGAAACCATTGCATCCATGGAGAGAAGAGTTATCAGGGAAGGTTGATGCCCTAGTATTCATAGTCTTTAATTTAAAGAGATATTGGCCAGCAAAACCTATAGAACATATTTCTAGAAGTTGACAACTCAGTCTTGATGTTGTCACTCTGAATTCTTCCTGGAGACAACTAGTTATGTACCATCCCACTTTTGAAGCAATATGGGTTGCCCAATGAAAATAAAACAGTGAGAAGAGGATAGAAGTTAGGAGCGAACCAGCCTCCATTAGGGCATTGAATCATGTCTCAATAAAGACTGTCACTGTCACTGTCACTGTCACTGTCACTGTCCTCCTGTTGTTCATTGATTTGCTCGAGTGGGCCCAGTAACGTCTCCATTGGAGACTTTGTTGTTACTGTGTTTGGCATAATATCAAATATATCACGGGTAGCTTGCCGGGCTCTGCCGTGCGGGCGAGACACTCTCGGTAGCTTGCCGGGCTCTCCGACAGGGGCGGAGGAATCGAACTCAGGTCAGCCATGTTGGCTGCATGCAAGGCAAATGCCCTACCGCTGTGCTATCACTCTAGCCCCAATAAAGACTATGACCTTTTAAATAATTTTTTTACATTGGGGATGGGAGAGGGCTGGAAATATAGTACAGAGGGAAGGGCACTTGCATGTGGCCAGTCTGGGTTCAATCCCCAGCACCCCTGAGCACCACTGGGTGTGGCCTAAAAAATAATGTGGAATGCACATAGGGACAAATAGCTTCCTCTTACTATGATTCTTATTTCTGTGTTCTTCTCCCTCAGGCCTTCCTGGACTTCCTGGATTACATGGACTGAATGGTCTTCCAGGAAACAAAGGAGATCATGGAACACAAGGTAAGCAAGACCTTAAAGCGCAAATTGGAGGCACCACTTTCTCCAAAAGATTGGCAGGGACTCACCATGAGTTCTCAACTATAGTGTATTATCACATATCCTAGGACTCATAAACCTGCACAGTACACATTTTAGGGTCCCTGGGTGCAGGAAGGAAGGAAGACAGAATGTGTCCTTGTATTTAAATGAGCTCACTTTCCTGTTATCTTATATAGCCAACCTCTTTGGTCTGTTGTGCAGGCCCCTTGAGTCCCCACCTAATAAGTTAGGCATGAAGATTTTACTCTGAGTTCTAACCTCTTATTTCTGTGTTAGGAACTAGTTTAACTGGTGTACCTGGACCAGCTGGCCCTCCTGGTCTCAAAGGTGAAAAAGGCTCTCCAGGAACTGGAGTTGATATCCCAGGAAATCCAGGGATTAAAGGACAGAAAGGTAGCCAAGGTAAGTGATCCCAGCTCAGGCCTGAATGGAGCCTGACTTGGAGAATCTGGGTTAGGGTTCATTGGGACCACATAAACTAACAATTGATTTATACAATTCTTTCCACCTCTGGAAGTCTCAAAAACCAATGCAACTGACTGCTCAGAAAGAGAGACTAGGTCATACCTTGGGCTTTCCTGAGAAAGTATGTCAGGAAAAAAATCATTGAGTCCCTTCTAGTACCCAGGTTCCTATCTCTTTCCTTCATTAATCACAGCACCTCTTTTGCAAACTTGGCTAGGACCCTGGTTCAGTGGCCCTGAGTAAACGTTTATTACACTTAGAGGGAGACTTGCTAGAAGTTCTTCAGTGTCCAATAGGGGCACTGGGAAGACAGTATGACCACTGTACAGAATCCAAGACTGAGGATAAATGTCTTCATTTGGCCAGAAGCAGAGCAAGCACTCCATTACAGTTTGTTGGGTTAACTGAAAACAGGATTCCCTCTAATCTCAGCCCAGATACTGCATATTGTCTGAAGTCCTTTTCTCAGCCTCACTTTCCCACCTATCAGAGCGCAAAAAATGGGTACTGATACTTTAAGTCTTCTTATAAATTTCCAAAATACTTACTCAACATAAACAGGAAATGAACTGAGCATAGCATTATGATGTCCTCTGAAGTCAGGTGATGTGGATTCAAATTCCAGCTCTACCTCTCACTAGCTCTGTAACCTTAAACCAGGCAGTTACTTGTTTCTTAAGAACCACCTGAACCTTTATTTTTCCTTTTCATGAAAAGAGACATAATAAGTGATCCTGCCTCAGTGCTTAAGTGAGGAATCAGTGAAGAGTGAGACCCAATTTGCACTTGGCCAAGTATCTGGCACAAAGTAGGAACTCAAAAATGCTGCACATTGTATTTTTACTGGTTACCTGGAAGAATTATATTTGCAAAATGTTCTCTTTCTCAATGTTCTGTTGCCCAATATATCATCCCATTTTCTCTGTTTGTGTTGATGTTCGATTGATGTGCGTATTTTCCAGGAACTATAGTCACATCAATTCATTTCCTAATGCATTTAATATGAATGCATTTGCCCTCTCTGTGTTTATTCTTTCCTTGATTGGGGCCAAGCTGTTCTTTTCTGAAATCCAGAAGCTTGTCCTAAGCGAGAGTTCACATAGGGTCTCAGCTGGAGGGTTTTGAGCTGCAGGGTCTCTCGTGGCTTTTCTTACAAAAGACACAGGAGAGTGGTTGGGGAAAAGGTACAGTGGGTAGGACAGTTACCTTACATGGGACTGACCTGGATTCAATATGACCCATCACCCCATATGTTCACCTGAGCTCAACCAGGAGTGATCCCTGAACGCAGAGCCAAGGATAAGCCCTGAGCACAGCTTGGTGTGCCTCCCCACCAAATATTCATCAGCAAACTATAATGTAAAGGGAAGATGAACATAACAGTAATTGTTGCCTCTTAGAGGGAAGGATTGAGGTGGAAATCTATGTAAGGCATGAAAAGAAATAAAGGTAGCATCATATTTTTCTGTACTTGTATGGGTGGAACATGGATACTCATCATATCTGAATTGTTTTTAATAATACTGAAAAATTATGAAATAATTCCATATTATTTCACAATATGATATATAAGTCTCAAGAGTCCTTATCAATATGTAATTCAAAGTATTTTTAAAGGAGACAGCAAGCATCACCTTTCTCCTCTCATAGGAACCTATCTCAAATTTGATCATGAAAGTTGAAGTATAATGAGCATCATGCCCTTAGAAAGACTTTTTAGAGCAATTCTCATACCTTTAGCTGAATAATTTTAAATTACACCATTTATTTTGTATTTTCTCCAAATTGCCAGAGACTCCATTTTTGTACATTGAAGGTTTTTAAAGAGTCTGGCACTGAAATGTATAGGTGAAAAAACTGTTATCTTGTGCTTTCATGTGTTCTTTTAAAGTTGTTTGTTTTGTGCATAGAAATGCATGCATTTATTTTCAAATGCTTGAAATCAGTAGCACCTTTACTTCAGGTTTAATTATATACTGGCATATTAAGAAGGTCAAAAAATAGGTACAAAAAGAAGATTCCAAGAACATCCATAGGAAATTTTATAATTTGTGTGCTGCCCACTTTGCTCTTACATGTTGTGTCTTTTTATTGATTTTGTGTAAGTTCAGCATATGTAGATATATATGTGTGTATAGTGATATTTTCAGGGAAAAATACAATATGTCTTTCTTTTCAGATTTTTACATTTGTGAAAAAGTCAAACACGTCAAAGGTTCATCAAGTTACAACTGACAGTTACGAGTGGCTTCATAACTAGTTTTCCTCTTTTCTTTTCATTTTTCTCCAGACCCTTAATAATCTGGACAGCTTTCTTGAATTTTTCCCATTGTTGTATTTTCTCAGCATTCAATTAACTAACAGACTACCAGTTTTACAAGTTTTCATGGAGTTACTATTTATTAGCTAAAGAAAAGATGAGAAACTCAACTTCAATAATTTTTACTTTCCTTGTCAGATAAATTAATTTTACCATCAGTTTGTTTGGATTTTCTTGTCACAAATATAAGAATTATAACCATCAGGACAGTTTATCAGTTTGAATCTATTTCTCTTCATTTGGAAAACATCTAGAATACACCAAAGTAACAAATGTGTGACTTCATGTAAAAAGTACAATATGAACTTTTCCTGTTATCTGTATGTTTTTCCATCAAAACAACCATCTCTGTATTTGACTTGCGACTGTTAAATAAATTTTCTTCAGCATTTGAAATTGTTGGCTTTGAGCATATTATAATAGAAATCATTCCACAAACAGAAACTACATGAAGTGGTATGACACATTGAACAAATGCCTTTTCAAAATCTACTCTAATCAGGGGCCATTTCTTCCTTAACCAGAAAGGGGAAAAGGACATAGTACAGAAAAAAATTTTTCTATAGAGAGGTAAGCAAGCACTCTGCTAATATTATGAATTACCTCTAAGATAATGTTTTTCACTTCCTTAGAAGACCTAGAAGTCAACTCCCAAAGACCTGGCTTGCCAGTGTCCTTTCTACTACATTCTGTCCATGCTAGGGTGCCTTCTGACTGATTGGGATCTGTGTCTCATCTTTATCTGTAACCTTCTCTGCACTGTCAGATGAAAATTGGCTAACTAAATGAATTGTGTGACTTGGACTATAGGTTTAAGAACACAACGGAAACTTCAGTCCAGGTGCTATAGTCATTCCATCTTTTTTTCCAGCTTTGAGGAAAAGACCAGTGAGGTTGGGGAGTTTGAACTACTGAAATTCTATCCCCCAAATTCAGAGCTTGAGGGGAAACCTGAGCCCTTGTCAGCAGCAGTTTGCTGTCTGCAAGGGTTAGCAGCAGGAAGAAGAGCCCTCTGCTGGCATTTGCTGGTCTGACATCTTCCATATTGTTTTTTTTTCCTGGTGATTCTTTTTTTAAAAAATTTTTATTAGTGAAACACCATGAGGTACAGTTGTAGACTTACAAATTTTTGTGCTTGGGTTTCAGTTATACAATGACCCAGTACCCATCCCTCCACCAGTGCCCATTCTCCACCACCACTAATCCCAGTATCCCTCCCACCCCCCATCCCCCCAATCCCACCCTGCCTCTGTGGCAGGGCATTCTCTTTTGTTATCTCTCTCCTTTTGGGTGCTGTGGTTTGCAAAAGAGGAATTGAGTGGCAATCATGTTCGGTCTATTCTTACTGCTTCTGTATTCTCTGCAAAAAAGCCCAGCCCTTTCTTGGGTGCCCACACCCATGCAGCGTCTTTTATTTATTCTTTGCAGGTTTCCCAGGTCTCCAGGGTCCTGCTGGTCCCCCTGGTGCCCCAGGCCTCTCCTTTCCCTCATTAATAGCAGGACAGCCTGGCGACCCTGGGCAACCAGGCCTAGATGGAGAACGAGGTAAAGAGAGAAACCCAAAGAGGGTGGCTGTTGCCTTTTGTCTGGAGTTTGGGTGGGACACAGTTGTCCTGTACACACAATCCACTGGCATTCCTATTACTGAACATGCATAAACCTCCCCACTCAACCCTCACATCCTGCCCTTCCAGGCAGGGTCTCAGGGGACTGGAAAAGGGCTGTATTTTGCTAAAGGATCTGGGCTGGTCAGGCAGTGGGACCCTACAGATGGCAAGGGACCATTCTCTGTCCTGAGAGTGGGCTTTTCCTTCTTATCGGTCCCCCCAGACTTTCACAAGCAGCCACATCCTGCTCAACCCTCTTCCAATCTTATCCCTAGGCCGTCCAGGCCTCCCAGGGCCTCCAGGTCCCCCTGGGCCAACCTCGGATCAAGGCAACCCTGGAGACCCTGGCTTCCCTGGAATTCCTGGCCCTCAAGGGCCCCAGGGAGACCAAGGAATTCCAGGTTTCTCTGGCCTTCCTGGAGAGCTAGGACTAAAAGGTATGGCTGCTTGGTTAGCTTCTGGGCCCTTTCCCACACCTTGGTGTGAGATGGGGCCTTCTTGCAACCCCTGGAAGAGGGACCAAACCGCTAATACAATAAGAATGCACTTCCGGCCTGCAGTTCCACCTAGTATCAAACCACTCCCCAGGGCAGAAGAAATAGCACAGGGGGTGATGTGTTTGCCTTGCATGTGACTGACCCCAGTTGAATCCCCAGCACCATAGCACCCTCAGCACTACCAAGAGTAACCCTGAGCACCATGAGGTGTAGCCCCTCCTCAGCACCCCCCTGCAGAAAACCCCCACCCCACAACCCCACAACCAACAACAACACCACTTTGTCTGGTCCTGACTTACTTCCCTTTGGACTTTGCCAGGCATGAGAGGTGAGCCTGGATTCATGGGAATTCCAGGCAAGGTTGGTCCACCTGGAGACCCAGGATTTCCCGGGATGAAGGGAAAGGCAGGGCCAAGAGGTGAGTTGAGAGTATCTTTTGGGCTGATCCTGTGCCCAAGGGAGAGGTCTGTGGGGAATGTCTCTTCAGTAGTCACCGCCCACCATACCAACAATGCCTGGATGCCTGAAGCTACAGTATCGAGCTCCTCTGTGGAGGTGTTTTCTTCACTCACTGCTACAGATCCTGCTACTGACTTCCCATCTTTGTATTGGTTTTGCACTCATGGTGTTGGATTTATACTTGGACAACCACTCACCTATTTGCCCAATCCAGAAATTTTGTATCATCCTTTGTCTCCTACTACCTCCTACTCATACACATCCAATCCCTTAGCAGCTCCATGAGGGTTGGAGCTCCTAAATTTGTCTTATAATCACTCACCTCTCACTTCCACTGCTATCTGCTATGCCCCACGTTCTATCCACTGCCATGCATCATGTGAACTCATGGCAATGACCTAACTCTTCTCTCATCTTTCATTGTGCACCTCCCCCAATAATTATTTCTCCAAACAGTGGAGAAATGATTTTCTGTTTTATAAAAACAGAATATATGGGGATCCAGAGAGATAATACAGCAGGCAGGGCACTTGCTTGCATGTGGCTGACTCTGCTTTGATCCTTGGCACCCCATATTATCCCTGGAGCACTGCCAAGAGTGATCTCTGAGCACAGAGACAGGAGTAAGCCCTGAGCACTACCAGATGTGGCCTAAATATTAAAAAAAAATAAGGGGCTGGAGCGATAGTACAGTGAGTAGGACATTTGCCTCGCACACAACTGACTCAAGCCTGATAACTGGCATCCTATATGGTCGCCCGAACACTGCCAGTGGTAATTCCTAAGTGCAGAGTCAGGAGTAAACCCTGAGCATCGCCAGGTGTGGCCCGAAAAGCAAAAAAAAAAAAAAAACCAATAAAGACAAAAAAAAAGTTATCAATAAAACCAAACATAACTAAAGCATTGGCTTCTCGTGGTAAAAAATTAACATAAAGCCCTGTGTATAGCACCTCCCTTTCCACCCTCATCATGTTCTTCCCCTTTGCTGACTCCTATGCTCTTGTCACACTCTATGGCATGACTGACCACAGGACCTCTGCACATGCTTATTCCACTTCTTCGAATAATCCCTCTGATCTTTCTACTGCTTGTACTTACACACATCACTGTGTAAATATTTATAAAGGGGCACTTATCACTCTCTAAAACCACCCTTTCTTCCTTTGGTATGACACTGTTCATTGCTTCCATAGCACTTAGCACAAGCTGAAGTAAGGTGAAGGGATTTGTCTGGTTGTGCAGTTTTCATCTTTTTCACCAGGTCTTAATAATCACCATAAAGTTCTGTCGTATTCACTGCTCTGTCCCCAAACCAGCCAAGGTTCTGACACAGTATGGGCACTAAAGAAATCCTCACTCAATTAATTAGTAAGCAAATTGGCTTTTTAGCTTTGAATATAAACCAGTTGGTGGGGGATGGGACACTAGGCTCTGATGCCAGCCCAACCTCTGGGATTCGATGCAGCCCCTCATCCTCCTTGGCAGCCTCCTTGCAACCAAACACTCCAGCTCAACTCCACCCACCATATTTGCTATAATCATTTCTCAACTTACCTACTGCATTCTCAGACCTGTGCTGGGCGTTAAGCAGACAAAATGAATGTAACATAGGCCCTGCACTCAAAAAGCTACCAATCCTTTGAGGAGATGAATAGGTCAAGAGGTCACTGTATATAGTATGATAAGATCTGTCCTGACACTATCAAATGGGAATGCTGGAGGGAAATAGAAAGAGCAGAAAACTGGTCCTTATGAACCGCACTGCCCCCCCCCCCCCAAGCCTTCTGGAAACCCATTCTGGTTGCCTCCTCTGTCTCTGCCTGACATTTCCATTTCTCTGACTGCTTCTCACAGGCCTTTCTGGGCCCCAAGGTGCTCCTGGACAAACACCCACTGCAGAAGAACTCCAGGCTCCTCCTGGAGTCTCAGGTCTACCAGGCATGGATGGCATCCCTGGCCTTTCAGGAGACCCGGGGGTTCAAGGCCCTGGAGGCTTACAAGGTGAGGAGTTGCCTCAGAAAGGGGACTTGGCAAGAGAAGACAGCCTTGGCTGAGAAGCTGATGTAGCTGGCTAGGGACCCCAGCTCCAGTGGGGCGCCTTCATCCAACATTTCCTCTGTTCCTTCACAAAGCTGCTAAAGTTCTTCCCAGGAAGAAGGGCCAGCAGGGCAGTAGTTGTACTTGGCTTGAGAGAATGGCTGTGCAGAGCATAGCAACTGCCCCACACAGCTTGTCTCCCGCTGGCACCACTCTGCAAAGTGAAAGAATGTGCTGGGAGATAAAGAACAATGGAGAAAGTTGGGAGGTCGGAAACCTGGCTTCTAATCCCAGCTCTGCTCCAACTAGAGTAAGTTAGCAGTCTCTCTGGGCTTCAGGGGCCTCATTTCTGGTGTGGGACACCAGCTGTTGCCCTGCATACTTCCCAGCATGGGTGGTAGGATAAAAGACTGGGAAAAGAAATGAGTGTGAATGGGGCTTAGAAGGGTAAAATTCAGAGCCCAGTCCCAGGGTCAAGATGCCCTGAAGCCAAGAAACATCTAGCCCAAATCCTCAGCCTGAGGTAAATGTGTGCTCCAAATTGATGGTCAGTTTGCCCTCTGCTGGTGAGTCCCGGGCATGACATACCTGTCCCCTTTCCCAGAAAGGGACCTGGATTCTTCCACATTGTGTATGCCCTGTACACCTTCTCTTACAGGCTCCAAAGGTTTACCTGGCATCTCTGGCAAAGATGGTCCCAATGGACTCCCCGGCCCACCTGGAGTTCTTGGCAATCCTGGTGTTCCTGGACTACAAGGCCCTCCAGGATTTGAAGGTGTGGTGATGTTGGCCCTAAAGAGGCAGAGGACTTCTCTGAGAGTTTGAGGCTTGAGATTGAGACAAAATCTCAAATCCGAGAATTAGAAAACCTGGAGGTCAAGCTTGATAGCAGCAGCTCAGAAACTGGGCTTCAAGATATTTGCTCACAACCCCGTTCAAGACTGTGAATCATTAGAGCCCTCCATTCTGAAAGGCAAAGCACTGTTACAAATCTTTTCCTATGTTCTCATGATAGCCACTCAATACCTCTATTGCAAACTACAACACACTAAAGGAAAGAGTGAACAAAAGGGAATGCCCTGCCACAGAGGCAGGGTGGGGTGGGGAAGATGTGGTGTGGGGGTGGGAGGGCTACTAGGATCATTGTTGGTGGAGAATGGGCACTGATGGAGGGATGGGTACTCGATCATTTTATAACTGAAACCCAAGCACGAAAGTTTGTAAGTCTACAACTGTACCTCATGATGTTTTGCTAATAAAAAAGTTATGGCTCCACCGTTTAGCATGGTGCCCTATACTGCACCTCCCTTTTATTACTCAGAGATTCTGACATGGATGGAAGGGATGGTTGACAATTTTATGAAATACATCAGCAAAGACTGCCCCGTTGTCCAGAGTAGACAGGAGTTCTGAGGTTTAGTGGGAAGGGAATGCCATAAATTAGCTACAATGACCTTGGGGCAAAAGAGAAGGACGGGATTTTTCCCTGCTAATCCTAATTCAGGTTCTGTTGCCTCTGATTCAGCTAATATTTTTTCTATGAGAACCTGCAAAGTCAAGTGGAGATGTATTCACTTTCTGCCTCCTAATCCCCTCATACAGAACCCCAGGCCAGGCAGCTGTGGAAGGAAAACAGGATAGTTGCTTTTTCTTTTTTTATTAGTGAAACACCATGAGATACAGTTGTAGACTTACAAACTTGCATGCTTGGGTTTCAGTTATACAATGATCAAGTATCCATCCCTCCACCAGTGCCCATTCTCCACCACCAATGAACCCAGTAGCCCTCTGACCCCCCAAACCCCTCCCACCCCACCCCACCTCTGTGGCAAGGCATTCTCTTTTGTTCTCTCCTTCCTTTAGGGTGTTGTGGTTTACAATAGAGGTATTGAGGGCCATCATTTTCGGTCTATAGTCTACTTTCAGCATGCATCTCGCATCGCAAGTGAGTCCTCCAAACAGCCTTTACTTGGTGTTTCCTTCTCTATCTGAGCTTCCTTTTCCCCCAGCATGTGCTGCTGGCTTCCAAACCGTGGAGAAGACCTCCTGGTACTTATCTCAGCTATTCTTGGGTGTTCGTCTCCCATTCTGTTACTTTATATTTCCCAGATGAGTGCAGTCTTTCCATGTCTGTCCCTCTCTTTCTGGCTCATTTCACTTAGCATGATGTTTTCCATGTAGAACCACTTATATGTAAATTTCATGACTTCATTTTTTCTAACAGCTGCATAGTATTCCACTGTGTAGATGTACCAAAGTTTCTTTAACCAATCATCTGTTCTAGGGCACTCAGGTTTTTTCCAGATTTTGGCTATTGTGAACAGTGTAGCAATGAACATACAAGTCCAGATGTCATTTCGACTATTCTTTTTTGCCTCTCCGGGATATATTCCCAGTAGTGGTATTGCTGGGTCAAATGGGAGCTCAATTTCTAATTTTTTGAGGATTGTCCATACTGTTTCAGGATGGGTGCTTTTTCAAGTGGAACTTTTGTAGCCATATACATCTGAGTTGGTGGTAAAACTCGACCACTGACAACTCTGGGACCTCTGAACGTCAGTTTCCATATTTATGAATTGGGATGATAAGGTTGTTATGGGTGGCAAGTGAGGTTACACATGTACCTAATACGTCCTGCTCAGGGGTTGGCACAAAGCAGCTGTTGTTTGGTTGGTTGCATCTTACTCACCCATTTTCTGTGTTCTCCCTCTTAGGACCTCCAGGGAAGCAGGGCCCCCTTGGGAGGCCTGGAATGCCGGCGCAGAGTGTGAGAGTGGGCTACACTCTGGTGAAACATAGTCAATCCAAACAGGTGCCCCAGTGCCCTCTCGGTATGAAGCAGTTGTGGGTGGGTTACAGCTTGCTGTTCGTGGAGGGACAGGAGAAAGCCCACAACCAGGATTTAGGTAGGTACCAGCTATGACAGCCAGCTCTGGCCATACATCTGCACAAGAACCAAGATTCAAGCTCAGGGAGATAGTTTAAAGGGCTTTAACACATGCCTGTATGTGGAAGCCCCAAGTTTGATCCCTGGTACTGAGTGTGTGATGCCCCAGTGAATGTGGGTGGTCCCAGCACTACCAGGTGTGGCCCAAAACAAACAAAAAGAACTGAGTTGAGGGCTGCAGAGACAGTATAGGGGGTAGGCACTTATTTGCACACAGCTGACCTGTGTTTGATTTCTGACCCCCTATATGGTGGCCTGAATTCTACTAGGAGTGACCTCAGAACACAGAGGCAGTAGAGAACCCCGAGCACCACCAGGTGTGGCACAGCACCCTCCGAAATTACTGAGTCGCCCTCTTTGCGACTAGTTCTTAACTCAAGGGGCACAATGGAGAGCAGTAGGTCATGAGCAATCATTCATGAGTCAGGCAGATCTGGGTTCTAATAGCATAGTAGCAGCATACATGGGACAAAGTCCTCGATCTCTTTAAGCCTCTATGTCCTCCTAATGAGCAAGATTAATTCTAGTAATATCTCATAGGCTGGTGAAAAGATTACATGAGTCCCCTATGTCAAATGCTAGAACATTTGGCACATAATAAGCCCCTATTACAAGCTAGCAATTAGCATGGTAGTAATAATGTGACCTGTGGTGCAATGATGATTACCCAAGAATTAATTGTATTGTCTGCAATTGTGCTGACTCTTGTCAGACTTACCCTATTAAATACTGATTTGAGGGACTAGATAATTAGCACAGCAGGTAAGGTACCATATATGATCCCATGAGCCCTGCCAGAAGTGATCCCTGCATACAGAACCAGGAGTAAGCCCTAAACACTACCAGGTGTGAACAAACCCCAACCCCCAGGTTTGTTTTACAAAGGAGATTAATCAGGAGAGTTGTTATATAGTTTCTAAATACATTCATTATCCAAAGTTCCTGGTTCATTGACTTCAGCTGTTCACAATGTTCTAGGGAGGTAAAGAGTCCCTGCTCTAATATATACAAAGAGTTGGACATAAAACCACACCATTATCTAGCCCAGCTCCAGTGCTCTCGGACAACTCAGCCTTGCTCTTCCACCAGGCCTCCCTGCCTTCTCTCTTTCCAGGTTTTGCTGGCTCCTGTTTGCCCCATTTCACCACCATACCCTTCATCTACTGCAACATCAATGAAGTGTGCCACTATGCTAGGCACAATGATAAATCTTACTGGCTCTCTACGACTGCCCCTATCCCTATGATGCCCATCAGCCAGGCCCAGATTTCCCAGTACATTAGCCGCTGCTCTGTGTGTGAGGCACCCTCGCAAGCCATTGCTGTGCACAGCCAAGACATCGCCATTCCACAATGCCCACTGGGCTGGCGCAGCCTCTGGATTGGGTACTCCTTCCTCATGGTAAGGCCCTGCATTGTCCTTCCCCTGATATAGAAACAGAAGTCAGGGAGCTCTGGGAGGACTTGGCCAAACATTAGAGACCTAATTTTGCATGAATGTCAGGTAACCATGGGTCTAAGTGAAAAAGAAAAACAGGCTGTATCCAGTGGCTCAGGAGTGAATATGAATCAATGGCCAAGTTCAGAATATCTCCTTGAAGAAAAATGCCTACCATAGGGACTGGAGCGATAGCACAGAGGGTAGGGCATTTGCCTTGCACGCAGCTGACCCAGGTTCGATTCCCAGCATCCCATATGGTCCCCCTAGCACCGCCAGGAGTAATTCCTGAGTGTGGAGCCAAGACTGACCCCTGTGCATCACCGGGTGTGACCCCCAAAGCAAAAAAAAATATCCCGCCATAGAGGCAGGCTGGGAGTAGGGGGAGGTGATGGGAGGGAAACTGGGGACACTAGTGCTGGGATATGTACATTGGTGTGGAGGAATGGGTGTTAGAACACTGTATGACTGAAATCTAATTATGAAAAGCTTGGTAAAGATTTATCTCACGGTGATTCAATAATAAAATCTTAAGAAGGAAAGAAAGAAAGAAAGAAAGAAAGAAAGAAAGAAAGAAAGAAAAAGAAAAGAATTTATCCTTTTCTACTTCTGTTATACCAGAAGTAAGAAAAGGAGGAAACACCCAGTTGTGGTGTACCATGAGGGTCCCCTCTCAAGGCTAGATCACTCACTCTATTCAGGTGCTGGGGCATGACACTCCCCCTATTCTGCTTTTCTGCCCATGCTCTCAAGCCCCCCTACCCACTGTCATCTCCCCCAAAAGATGAGAGCATGATGTGTTTCTCTTGTCCCTGTTGGGATTTTGAGGCCTCTCCGTTTCAGTGGGAACAGACAATGGTGAGGGGCTTGTATCTCCCTAAGCAACAGCTGAGAACAGGGCCCTGGGATGACTCTGTCAAAAAATGCCTGCCTTGCAAACGTGAGGGGAAGCATTCTATCTCAGGTTCCAGTCACATCACAATCACTGAACTGGGTCCTTATGGCTCTGGTAACCTATGTGCTGAAACAGTATACAATTGTTGTCACACAGCCAGGTGTGTGCTTACCCCACAAATGAAATTTGAGCCCCAGGGAGCACAATTAAAGATGTGCTAGCACCACAACAAAGTGTGTGTGAACCCTGGCCACAGCATCAATTATAATGGAAAATCAAGAGGAGAAAGATAAAAGAAGAAAAATAAACAACTGAGACTATGGGTCAACCCAACGAATTCAGGGATATATGAGGACCTCTGATCAAAGAAATGGTCAGGTTCAGGGCCTGGGAACACCGTGTATCACCCCTGGATTACTCTGCCTTGACAGGCTTCTTTGCTGAAATGCCAGGGGTGAGACAGAATGCATGTGTTCAAGAATTCTGAACAGGTTTTGTTATAGTGTTGTACTTGCTTTGTTGTGTTCTTTGTACATCAGGAATTCTATCCCAATGTAGTATAGAATCACCTCATTTATCATTCTGACCTGCCCACTATATGGAGCAGCAAATAAGGGGGGAAAATGCCTGCAAGCTTCCAATAGTACAAAACCCAGGCAGGATATCACACTTGTTTTGTTCACGAGAGAGCTCTCTGAAGCCCTTATTCAGACTCTTTACTCCCACCGTACATATATTCTAACCTATTAGGATCCAGATTTTCTTGAGAAAATGTGTGAAGCAGGAAATCTGAACTACTTAGTGAGGCATCTGGAGGTACGTGAAACATGCCTACTAGAATAGAGAGCAAAGAAACAAGTCCAAGGCTTTGCTCTGAGTACAAAACCCCTGTGCACCATTGCCCAACACAAAAGCTGATGTTCACAGCAACACACCTGGGTCATCTGCAATGCTGAAAATACATAGTGGCTGCCATTTAGTAAAGTGTATAAATGTGTGATTTGTTAAAGTAATCGATACCTCTTTTATCATGTATCTAGAACTCGCCAAAAGTTCTTCAAACTAACACTTCCCTGTGTGTCCGAGTTGGGAATCTGTCCAGTTGACCATTTGCCGAACTGAGTGTGTGCCTCCATTTATGACTCAGCTAGTATCCTAGCTGAGCAGGGGTGCAGGGGAGAGGGGTGGGAAGTAGAAAGATAGGGAGTCAAGTGACTGTTGGTTCCCAAATGGCACTGATGGTGAAATCCTGAAATTATGTGCTGAGGGAGACTTTTGAAAGGCCAAAACTGAGACCTACCTCTCCGCTATAAGAAACAAGCACTTTATGTCACTTTGAGGGGAACAGTGCAGATAGAAAGTATAGACATTCTAAGGAAAGTTGTTAACTTCTGCTGGAATGTTGTGTACGTGAAACCTTAACACTCATGGTATTATAAATCTGTAAATCATGGTGCCTAAAATAAATAAATATATACCTCTATATATGGGCTGGAGCGATAGCACAGCGGTAGGGCGTTTGCCTTGCACACAGCCAACATGGCTGACCCGAGTTTGATTCCTCTGCCCCTCTCCGCCCCTCTTGGAGAGCCCGGCAAGCTACCGAGAGTATCTCGTCCGCACGGCAGAGCCTGGCAAGCTCCCCGTATTCGATATGCCAGACACAGTAACAACAAAGTCTCCAATGGAGACGTTGCTGGGCCCGCTCGAGCAAATCGATGAACAATGGGAGGGCCTTTACTTTACTTTACTTTACTCTATATATGTAATAGTCTGAAGGAGGCCAGCCTGTGGTTTATCAGTTTGGAGAATATTAGTGTTTCCCTTCTTGAGGAGAAAGGTTCAGATAACTGCATTCCACAACAGATTAAAGGTTCCTTAATTCATCCTTTCTCACACCTGTCCATGAAAGTCTGTGAGGCAGGACACCTAACACACCTTGGGGCCCAGGGGGGCACAGCAGTTAGGAAAACTTACTGAGATGGAAGGCTGTGCATATGCAGGGGAGTAAGTGGTTACTAGAGAGCGTGGAGGGGGGTGTTGCTGCCCTAAAGAAGTCTAAGGAGTGACCGAAAGCCCCCAAATACAACTTTTGGTATACTGGCTAGATGGTAAGGCTAAGCCAAGGGAGCAGAGCTTAGGTAGGAAACAAATATCCCTCCCGGGAAGCATAAGGTACCCATTAACTGTTGCAGCACTCACACATCAACCCTCTATTGCAGCACACTGCCGCTGGTGCTGAGGGCGGAGGCCAGTCCCTGGTCTCACCTGGCTCCTGCCTGGAGGATTTCCGAGCTACTCCTTTCATCGAGTGCAGTGGTTCCCGGGGCACCTGCCACTACTTTGCCAACAAGTACAGTTTCTGGCTGACGACAGTGGAAGAGAGGCAGCAGTTTGAAGAAGAGCCTGTTTCAGAAACGCTCAAAGTCGGGCAGCTCCATACCCGGGTCAGCCGCTGCCAGGTGTGTGTGAAGAGCCTGTAGGGTGGCACCTGCCATTCTGTCCTTTGCCCTCTTCTCCCTGGCACAATCATCACCTCACAAATTGGAAAAATCTGAAGAAAGAAGGCATCAGCTCTTCTGTGCATCTGTTGCGTCTTGGGGTTTCATTTGGGAGAGTGGATTACCGGACAGTGGTCACCCCAGCATGCAGGCCAACTGATGAATCCAGCCTGTTGAGAGATCTACTGTCTCACTCCAGTCAACCTGGTGCTACTATTTGACTTGGATGTTTGTGTGACTATCCAAGGCAGTCTCAGATAAACCTGCTGGTCACCATTTTCTTAGACTGCTAACTTTCCTTATTGCCTTAATCTGAAAACTCAACATAAAATGATAAACACATTTTAAAAAAATGTCCCGAGGTCATCACATATTACTTGATTTAAAATGGAACCCAGTATTTCCACATAAGAATTTATCTGGGGCCAGAGAGATAGTATAGTGAGTAGAGTGCTTGTCTTGCATGCTGCTGACCCAGTTTTGAAACCCAGCATTACACATGGTCCCCTGAACCCCTCTAAGAGTGAACCCTGAGCACTGCCAGGTGTGGCCCTGAAAAAACAAACCAAAAATTATCTAGCTAAACATGCATGGATGGTTCAAGTCTTCAATGAGCAAACCATCACTCTTCAAGGAGGCCCACTGTGTCTAAGCAGGCAGCAAGGTGGGAGTGGAATGCCTGAGGTACTTCCTTCAAGAGTAAGTTCAATTGGGCCCTGTATTGCTTAGCAAGGCCCTAAAGGTCAGTGGACGAGTAAGCATCATTAATTTCCTGTGGGCTCATATTTATCACAACTTCCTTGTCAGTTCCCTCCATAGTTGGGATGTATGGCTTGGCCTGAGCCAGAGCAGAGCAAAGGATGCACAAATAAGAGTCAGACCCATAAAGGAAAATGAGAATCCCAGTCTTTGCTCCTGGGTTGGGGATTGGTAAGATTGATAAGATTGATTTGCTTCTGACTCCAGGAAATAAAAAAAGGTAAAGTCTTGGTCTCCATTTCTCAGAATTAATTCCCTGTTTATTTCAAACACTATCTAGATGTGTGCAGTGTGGGAAGTTGAAGCTGTGGCATAATGGTTCCTTTGCCATTTTCGAGTTATTGGAAAGTTTCTATAAAAATGTTCATCCAGGGCTGGAGCGATAGCACAGTGGGTAGGGCGTTTGCCTTGCACGTGGCCGACCCAGGTTCGATTCCCAGCATCCCATATGGTCCCCCGAGCACCCAGGAATGATTCCTGAGTGCATGAACCAGGAGTAACCCCTGTGCATCGCTGGATGTGAAGCAAAAATTTAAAAAAATGTTCAACCAATAGCTTTTTCACAGGTAGTCTGATAAAAGATTTTAATAAGTATTAAAATTTTACAAAATTCTTGCATATTCCTCTTTTGCAGTTAGCAGACCTGAAGGAAACCAAAGTTGACCATAAAGAGTGCTGTATTTTGGGGTTTTTTTTGGGGGGTGCACATGATTTAACCATTTTCTTTAATTGTCAGTTTCCCAGAACACTCTTAGCTATGTAAACATGAGACAATACCTTCCAGGTGATTCTGTGTCCTTACCTATTGTATAAATGAGGCCAACACAAAGCATATCAGTATAATCTGAGTTATTGTTACCTTCACCTTTTATACAAATAATAAGCCTGGTGTAAGCTTTATACACGACAAATAAAAGAATTCAATATGGACATCTGACTCATTTGACATTCTTTAATGAAAACTTTTCTAAAGTACATTTCACTACAATTCATGAGTCCCCTTAGAGGGGGGATATACCTGTTACTGTGAGTCAAACATTGTAACAAAATGTTGAGTCAAGAAAAAAAAATACAAAGTCAAAGGGCAGAAAGAGTCCTCTAATAAGGCAACAAATACACAGCCTACTTCAAAATAAGCCTAAGCGTGCTACCCTGACACGTATGAGAGTCCAAGAGACTTTCCATACTTCTGGGGCATCAGAATCTTTTACAGATAAATTATAAGAGAAACATTAAAGTCACTAAAATGAAATTTAAGGTACATTGTCACATACTGTGTATGCATAAAATATAATCTCTGGAAGGATAAATAAGAAGTTAATAACACTGGGAGCTTTCATGAATGGGAACTACCAGGTGGGAGAGAGACAGACATTCCACTAAATACCATTCTTCATATTATGAATTTTAATCATTTCAAAATATTAGCTGCTGGATAAAGGGGAAATTGGGATCTAAAAAATGCCTCAGTATTCTTAAATATTCCAAAACCTTTTTTTGATGCTAACTTTCAATTCTTAGCTGGTCTTCCTCTAGACTCAGTTGAAGATGGAAGTTAAATGCATTCAGGTGAAGAAGGTAAGGAAAGCAAAATGAGAAAACACCACTGGCATTTGGCGTATCCACTTAGGAGAGCGGCTAACAAAGCCAGGTTGAGAATATGTACTTTAAAATTTAGCATATTACTAGCCCTGAAATGATTTGGAATTGAATATGATGCATAATTAAATGTCACTGCATGAAAAATTCTTTTTACCTATGGCTGCCAATCAAGATAGTCTCATTAAGCACAAAGTTTTAGTTTTCTGCAAAAAAAAAGTCAATAGTTTAAGCCAGAGCCTGGCAAAGTACAGTCTGTGGATCATCCAGGGACCCACCTATTTCTGTAAATAAAGGTTGTTTTGTTTTGTTTTTGAGGGTGGGGAACACCTGGCGATGCTCAGGAGTTTTTCCTGGCTATTCACTCAGGAATTTTTCCTAATGTTATTCAGGGGGATCAGATGGGATGTTAACCATTGAACCGGAGTTGTCTGCATGCAAGGCAAGCACCTTACCTTCTGTACTATCTCTCCCGCCCCTAAAAAATGTTTTATTGCCTTATAGCCAGGCCCATTGGCATACATATTTTTTTGTGGGCTACTTCTGTGTCTCTGAGAGAGATGGCCTTCAAAATCTAAAATATTTACTATATGTCCCTTTACAGAAAAAAATGTGCTGATCCTTGTTTTAAAGATAATTTGAAGACAGGATGACATCTGACATAAGTTTCAGTAACAATATGAGCAGTGATCCATCAAATAGTAACATGCCTTCGAATAGAAATATCAACAGGTGCACATTTAACATAATTTTGGACAAAATTTTGATATAAATTATAATTAAAATAGCTATTGAAATAATTTAACAAGATGCAATCACTTTATTATTAGTGCAAAGAAAACAGAACACTTCTTAGTATTTAGCCCACAAGAGGTCACACCTGAAAGGATGAAGGAGCACAGGATAACCATCCCTCATCTGCTGGTGCTTGAAGCAAGGTGGGGGTTTCTGTCTGTCTTCCAGGTGACCACGGCTTCATTTTGGTAGCTGAAGATGTGATGTGGCCATGTGAGACAAGTTGAAAAGCAAGGGACGACTCCCAATTCTTCTGCTCCTAGATTTCATGATTGTTCTAGTTCTTTCCAAGGAAGCACTGTTTGTTTCTGATAAATGATCATTGGCTCAGAAATGATTGGTATCAAGTTTATATGCTGTTGGCATATCAGGCACTTGCTGACTAGAAAAAGTTTTTATGTAATGAGTTCATGTTCTTCAGGTGCCAGATGGAAGACAGATATCTAAGTTGAGTTCCCACTAATCTATACACTCAGAATCTCGAAATCTTCCTCCAAGTCAAACTCCTCTAATTGTTCGGTAGAATCAATGAATTCTATCAGAATACAGAAATAGAGAGGAAAAACTTGACACTATGTTTACAGCAAAAGCATTCCTCAAAACTTACTAGTATACATTCCTAAATAGTTTTGCTAAAGAAGATTGTGTTGGGGAATATTAGAGATGGAACACTGTCAAATATAAGAAGCTGTTCCTAAGCATCAGACAGGTTACATAGTCTTATTCACTATGAGGAGGCAGAGGCTTGCACAGTATGACATTAGAGGTACCTTTTTTTTTTGCTTTTTTGGGTCACACCCAGCAATTCTCAGGAGTTACTCCTGGCTCATGCACTCAGGAATTACTCCTGGCAGTGCTTGGGGGACCATATGGGATGCCGGGGATCAAACCTGGGTCAGCCACGTGCAAGGCAAACGCCCTACCCGCTGTACTATCACTCCAGTCCCTAGAGGTACCTTTTGAAGTTCCCAAGGCCTCTGTTGTTATTCAGATATCTGCTGATCATCAAAAATTCTAGTTACATCTGCATGGAATTTTCGTGGAAAATTAGCACTGAGCATTCTTTGAAATTGGTAAATAATAGTTCATCAGAAATATCACTGTGTTTCACCCACATATGTGAACAGAAATGTCTGATCCTATGGAAAGCATGAGCCACAATTGTTTCAGAATTACAAACCTATTTCTCTGTATCCTAAAACTATTGCTGGCCCAAGAGCCCCTGAACAAGTTTACCTGCCCCAGTGGTTGTCACTTCTGGCTTGGCTGGAGGAACAAAGGGAGGCCAGTGTGCTGGATGCTTCTGAACTAATTCAAACATCCTTAAATTTTCCTTTAGAATTTCCTGAGGAGACAGAAAAAATTATCAACACTGCAGGGTCACCACAATTTTGTTCTAATGACAATCTATGATCCCAAAACCGAAGAGAGTGGCCAATTTGTAAAAAGATGAAAGCGAAGGCCAAGCAAGTATACCCATCCTCTCCTTCACCCACTTGAAGATCAAGCCCCATTTTAATTATATACAGTAGACCAGAAAGAAAGGATGGGAGGGAGGATGTGATCAAAGGCCAGTACTCAATACCCAAACTTTACAAAAAGTTTTAAGACACAGGCTCAATGACACAAAACATTTTGCTGCATTCTGAAATGCGAGTGGTTGCTTTTAGAAAATTGGTCTTCATTTATGTCTCCACTAATTATTAAATAATCCACATTTAGCTGGCAACATTATTATTTGTTCACCTGTTAGAGAAAAATGTTCCTTCCTTACATTTACAGAAGACTCTGGCCTCCCACTGTTTTTAACCCCTTTGTTTCAGACAGAACAACAGGTCTCCCATCATCCCTTTCAGAACTCTTAAACCTATAATTTTTCAAATACAGGTTCAAAGACACATTTTGGCAAGCTGAAATTTCCAGCCAGTTCTCAACAATCAACTTGCTATTCTAAATAGTGCTGCAATGAACATAAAACTGCGGCATTTCTGCTGTGTAGTTTTGGACGCCTGGAGTATAATCCCAGAAGTAGTATTGTTGGGTTGTATGGAAGCTCAATTTCTAGCTTGTTGAGGAATGCCCATATTGTTTTCCAAGAAGGCGGGTCCAGGCAGCACTCTCACCAACAACACAGAGGAGTCCCTTTCTCCCTGCTTCCATACCAGCACTGGTTTCTTTTGTTCTTTTTGATATGTGCCAGTCTCTATGGTATGAGATGATATCTCATTGTTGTTTTGATTTGCATCTCCCTGATAATTAGCGATGTGGACAGCATTTTTAATGGTACGTGTACACAATGGAATACTATGTGCTGTTAGGAAAAATAAAGTTGTGAAATTTGCTTATAAATGGATGGACATGGGGAATATCATGGTGAGTGAAATGAGTCAGAAGGAGAGGTATAGACATAGAATGACTGGACTCATTTGTGGAATATATATATATATATACACACACACACACACATATATACACACACATACATACATACATGAGATCAATACCCAAGGACAGTAGAAACAAGAATCAGGAGGGCTGGTCCACAGTTGGAAGCCTATCACAAATGCTGAGGAAGAAGACAGTTGGGACAGAGAAGGAACTACCATTGACAAAGACAGTTGGAAATGATCACTCTGGATAAGAACTTCATGCTGAAAACACATAAAGGAACAAACATAACAACCTCTCAGTACCTATACTGCAAACCAAAATACCACAAAGTGGGGAGAGACAGAGAGAGAGAGAGAAAGAGAAAGAAAGAAAGAAAGAAAGAAAGAAAGAAAGAAAGAAAGAAAAAGAAAGGAAAGAAAGAATGGAAGAAAGAAAGAAAGAAAGAAAGAAAGAAAGAAAGAAAGAAAGAAAGAGAAAGAAAGAAAGAAAGAAAGAAAGAAAGAAAGAAAGAGAGAGAGAAAAAAGAGAGAAAGGAAGGAAGGAAGGAAGGAAAGGAAGGAAGGAAGGAAGGAAGGAAGGAAGGAAGGAAGGAAGAAAGAAAGAAAGAAAGAAAGAAAGAAAGAAAGAAAGAAAGAAGGAAAGTACCTGCCATAGAGACAGGCTGGGGGGAAGGTGGCAGGAGGGAAATGGGGAACACTGGTGGTGAGAAATGTACACTGGTGGAGGGATTGGTTTTGAACACTGTATGATTGAAACCTGGCCATAATCAGCTTTGTAGTTTTGTATCTCACAGTGACACTCTCTCTCTCTCTCTCTCTCTCTCTCTCTCTCTCTCTATATATATATATATATATATATATATATATATATATAAAAGCAACTTGTAACAGAGAGATAGTATAAGGAGTGATGTGCTCACCTTCCATGTAGTAGACAGTGATTTGATCCCTGGCACCTAATATAGTCCCCCCAAGCACTGCCAGGAGTGAACCCTGAGCAGAGAGCCAGGAATAAGCCCTGGGTATATCTAGGAGTGGCCCCAAAGCTCTCAAAATTGCATTTTAGGCAATATAATTATAGTGATGAAAATTTTCTTTGTTGACTACTTCACCACCAAGTAGTCCAAGACCCTCCAGCACTGTCCTTATGTCACATCTAGTATGTCTCTTAACTTCTCTCCCCATGATTTGGAATTTTTAGCTTGGTCTCAAAACCCAGGGGTTTGTCACCCAGCAGTATTATTCATTCCCTTTTCTTGTTTATTTACCACAGATGAGTGAGTTTATCGAGTATCTGCTATCTAGTCTTCCTCTAATTTATTTCACTTAATATAATGCTTCCCAGTTCTATATAAGTTGCAATAAATTGCAATATTTCATTTTTGCTATTTCACCATTAGCAAAAATGAAATATTGCAATTTATTGCAACTTTTTGTATATGCCATAACTTCTTTATCCATAACTTCTTTATTCATACCTTTTTGTATATACCATAACTTCTTTATACATTCATCTGTCATTAAACATTTGCTTTGTTTCCATATCTTGGCTACTATACTTAGTACTACCATGATAGATTTGTGTTAGATTTTTTTAATTTTAGTTAATGTTCTTGGTATAGATGTTGAGAAGTGGAATTGTTAGGTTACAATGAGTGGTCTATTCTTAGTTTTTAGAAAGTCTCCATATTATTTTCCATAGAGGCTGAACTACACAACATTCGCACCATCAGTGAATCAAGGTTACTGGTTGATTCCATTGGCATTTCCCAGATAACTGATGATGAATACTTTTCCATATGCAGAAACAGATAAGTATCTGTTCATTCATTCCCTGCCCCAATTTTTGGATGGTATTATTGTCTACTTTGTGTTGTCGAGGGTATTTTTTTTTGTTTTTGTTTTGTTGTTGTTGTTGTTGTTGTTGTTGTTTTTCTTTTTGGGTCACACCTGGCGATGCACAGGGGTTACTCCTGGCTCTGCACTCAGGAATTAATTCTGGTGGTCCCCTGGAGGGAACCATATGGGATGCTGGGAATCAAACCTGGGTCGGCTGTATGCAAGGCAAACGCCATACCCACTGTGCCATCACTCCAGCCCCCTGTTGTTGAGTTTTGTGAGAGCTTTATGTATCTTAGATATTAGTGTTTATCTAATATAATGCTGTGCAAATATTTTCTCCCATTCAGTAAAGGGTATTTTTACTTAACTTTATTTTCCATGGAAAACTTTTTAGTTTAATGTAGTCTAACTTATTTTTATTTGTGTTTTCTTTAATAATAGAGACAAATAATTGAAGGCAGCACTTTAGTCCATATCCTGGAGAGTTCTGTCTCTATTTTACACAATGTATTTTATGAATTCTGGTCTTATTTTGAGGTCTTCAATCACTTAGAATTAACTTTTGTGTATGGTGTGAGACATTGATCCAGTTACTTTATTTGCATATAGCTACCATGTTTTCTCAGCATAATTTGCTTAAGAGGATTTTGTTGCTCCACTTCATGTTTCCAGACACTCTGGCACTGTAGCACTGTAGCACTGTCCTCCCAGTGTTTATCGATTTGCTCAAGCAGGCACCAGTAACGTCTCCATTATGAGACTTGTTGTTACTGTTTTTGGCATATTGAATATGCCACGGGGAGCTTGCCAGGCTCTGCCGTGCAAGTGGGATACCTCAGTAGCTTGCCGGGCTCTCCAAGTGGGACGGAGGAATCAAACCTGGGTCGGTCACATGCAAGGCAAACATCATACCTGCTGTGCTATCACTCCAGCCCCCGAGGCACTTTATCAAAGGCTATTTATGAATCTGAGGGTTTATCTCTGGGATGTCTATTTTATTGTTGGTATTATAAGAGTCTGTATTTATTGCAGAAGCACACATTATTCACCACTACAACTTTTTAGTAAAACTTAAATTCAGAGAATCCAAGACCTCCCATGTTCCTTTTCTTAGAACTGTTTTAGCTACTGGGAATTTTGTTGTTGATGTTATTTTGAGACCACACCTGGTGGTGCTCAGGGGATAGTACTGGCTCAGATGTCATTTTTTTTCCCTTTATTTTATTTTATTTTTTTTAAAGTTGTAGATTTACAATTTTTTGTGCTTTGGTTTCAATTATACAATGATCAGATACCCATCCCTCCACCAGTGCCCATTTTCCACCACCATGGATAATATCCCTCCCACCCCCATCCCCCCCACCCCCCTGTCTCTGTGGCAGGGAAATCCCCTGTGTTCTCTCTCTCCTTTTGGGTGTTGTGGTCTGCAAAAGAGGCATTGAGTGGCAAACATGTTCAGTCCATAGTCTACTTTCGACATGCATCTCCCCTCCTGGGAGGATCCTCCAAACATCCTTTATTTGGTGCTCCCTTCTCTATCTGAACAGCCCTTTCCTCTAGGATACCCGGCTGGCCTCTAAGTTATGGAGTAATCCTCCTGGTGCTGATCTCAGCTATTCTTGGGTATTAATCTCATACTTTGTTACTTTATATCCCCCAGATGAATGCAATCTTTCTATGTCTATCCCTCTCTTTCTGACTCATTTCGCTTAGCATGATACTTTCCATATTGTACCACTTGTATGTAAATTTCATGACTTCATCTTTTCTAAGAGCTACATAGTACTCCATTGTGTAGATGTACCAAAGTTTCTTTAACCAGTCATCTGTTCTTGGGCATTCAGGTTTCTTCCAGATTCTGGCTATTGTAAACAGTGCTGCAATGAACAAACAAATGCAGATGTCACTTCGACTACACATTTTTGCCTCTCTGGGGTATATTCCCAGGAGTGGTATCGCTGGGTCAAATGGGAGCTCAATTTCTAATTTTTTGAGAAACGTCCATACTATTTTCCAAAAGGGCTGAACTAGTCGACATTCCCACCAACAGTGAAGGAGTGTCCCTTTCTCGCCACATCCACGCCAGCATCGGTTGCTTTTGTTCTTTTGAATG